GTGGTTGACAGGTGGCGTCGACTTGTAATTAAAACGAAAAACTTGAGAAAATTACCAACGACGTGGAAATACGACGAAAATGTAATTGAACCGAAGAGTTTTCGCTTCTGGATATGTTACAACAATTTGTAAGTTTAATGCAGCCAGAAAGGAAATAAGCATAAACTCGTTATTACGACACAAAACAGCCAAGACCAAACAATTTATAACAGATCTCATTTTCTTATTTTAAAATTTCTAAGATAATTCTCAGAATACAAATAAGACATAAAATAAAAATTGAATTTTACAACTATCTAGTGAATTTTTAAACAAAGACAGGATAATTTTAAAATAAAACACAATCGGGTGTTTTGAAATTTTGAAATTAATATTTTTGTAAAAACAGATGTTTATAATCTACACTGTCTCGCCCGTTTCTTTCCCAACCGCATCGTCGACGCTGATGGATCGCTCGCCGTCTCAACTCTGCCACCCCATCCATCATTTTACCTTTGTTTATGTTTAATCTTTTCGCAGATATGCTTTTACAAATTTGCAAGCGTGTGTAAGATGACGTGCGGCGTGCGTGGGTCCGGAAAACGTCCTTTTGCTACGGTACGTGAATAATTGGTTGCATAACATAGCAAAGTTTCGAGTGACAATTAGCACAATTCCAGCCGCATCACGCCTAAAAGCTGTTTAAACGTCGACTTTACCCTCTACCAGTGTCATGTCAAGCCGAAAATGTAAAGTCGTATCTAAAATAATAATAGCGGATTAGCAGAACACGCCACTTTGTTATTTGCTGCGGCAAATACGCTCAACGCAGTGGCGCAAGAAAAAGAACGAAGCTTTAAAATAAATTTGTTAAATGACAATAAAGTAAGGTCACCTGCCAGATTGGCCAATAATAATAGCGTCCTTCTTTATCGCGTGTAAAAATTATCCTTTATCGCCCCCATCCCTGGAAAGTGGTAGTTTATTTGTTTTCCTTCCGCAAGCCCTTCTATTTACCCTCGGTCCTGTTCCAGCAGACTCGGAGCAATCCCCCGGCGTATACCTTCGCGACGACCCTTTATTTGGCAACCAACCCCCTCACTGCGAGCTGCGGGTGCCAACTGCGGAGAAAGCGGCCCACTACTTGGACGCCGCCGTCGACTGTCGAGCACCCACTCGAGAAGAGTCCCGCGACACCCACCTTCTATTCACCCTCCACGTGTATCAGTACAGCGTTGCGGGAAAAGGAGGAGGTAACGATTCTAATTACCCCAATTTATGATAATTGGATTTCTTATCTTATCATCGAATGAAAAATTGTTACAGTTGCCGGTGGAAGGAGTCGCCTGCACCTGATCGATCTGGGAAATTCCGAACGCGGGAAGGCCAGTGGAGGGATCCCCTTATCGGGATTGGGGAACATCCTCCTTGCGATTTTCAACGGGCAAAAGCACCTCCCGTATAAGGAGCACAAGCTGACCCAACTTTTGAAGGATTGCCTCGGGTCTCTGACTTGTCATGCAGCAATGATAGCGCATGTCTCGCCTTCGGCCCAAAATTATTCCGATACTTTGACTACGGTTCAGCTGGCATCGAGGATTCATAGAATGAGGAGGAGGAGGATCAAGTTTGCATCATCTGGAACCGGCTCTGGAGGAAGTTCCGGGGAGGAACCAACCCGGACCACCGGAACCAGTAGCGAACCTGATCCTTCTTCGAGTGATTTAAGTGCTGATACTGTCATCTACGTCGGTCCTGCTGATGACGCAACCGACGGGGAACACCCTCCTGTATATATACCTAGCCTTAATTCCGGAGACAATCGATGCTCGATGAGCAAAGTTCTGCGAGGTTCCAGTGCAGAACAACGACCAAAAGTTCCTACCAAAGACATACATCGTCCGGCGAAAACTTCGTGCCAAAGTAACAAAACATCACCAGCTCACACCAACTCGCCCAAATCATCACCAAGTCGAGCAAAACCGGTCAAAGGCGCCAGCGACGAGCAATGGATCGACGGACCAAGAATCTCCAAATCTAAAGTCGCCGAAGCGAGGCACTTGATGAAAGAACCGTGTCATGTCAAAAAACGCGAAACATGGATCGATGGTCCCATGCAAGCCGAAGGCACCAGCTATGGCTACATGGACAGTCATAAGAAAAACATGATCAGGAAATGGGTGGAACACCAAACGTCGCAAATACAGAGAGCTGCTAAACCCAAACAGTACAAAGAATTGACCCAATTTAAGACAGAAGACGAAATCGTGAAACCTCTTGATAGCAAGAAAATTGAAACGGTTGAAGAATCAGTAATAAGAACGGGGCTTAAGATGAATTCTATCAAGAATGACGCAATCCCGGAATGTCAAACACCGGAAGAGAAAGAACCTGGAGAAGACTTGGAAGACGAGGACGAGGAACCCGAATTACCACCAGCACTTCCTTTGATACAACCTTTAAGCAGTCGAGAAGTGTCCCTTGAAAGCCTTGATATGCTTTTGAAGGAACGCATGCTCTCGAACGCCGAGTACCAAAACTACCAAAATGCAGAAAGCGATGAGGATGAAGTCTTGGAAATTATTGAGGTTTGTACCTACAGTGCCAAATAATAATTTTAATTTAATTTAATTTTTATGATAGGTGGAGGAGCCTCTCGAACCAGTCCCGACGCAAGACTGCTGCCTCCAAGTGACAGAAGAGGATATAGCTCTATGTATGGGCTACATCGAAAACCCACTCCCTGAAGTAGACCAAGAGAACCCTCTGGACCATCCTTTGAGGATCCTGAGTCAGGAAAATTTGACAGTTGTATCAACCTTCACCGACTCTATGTCAGTCTACACTGACCTTGAAAGAATACTTCCGAGACATAAATACGATCCTCAGTATGATTATGAGGACCCAGACAATCCTTATCCCCGAAACGGTAATTTTGACGAGTCGACGAGGAAAAAATTCGACCAGTTGGCACGCCTGCACCAGTTATACACGAATCGGTTGGCAAAAGCCAACGTTGCTAATTCAGAAACGTATCAGAAGCAACAAAAAAACCGGACTTTAAGCCGATGTGAGTCACTGTCACTTAGTGATATGTTGTACGGGGGTGGGTACCCCGACAATGGGAGTATCTACTCAGAGCCGGCTTACGTCCAAGAGAAATTCTGTGAAAATTGCAAGATAAATTTAGGACGTCCGGCAACGTCGCAGAATTGGTACACTGATTTGTACTTATCGGCCAGTACTCAGGACTTGTCTCAGAAAAAGAGTGACTCTTTAGGTGGCCGCTTTCAGCGCTACTGCCACAACTACGACCACAATTTAGCCTACTTGCGTCACCCCGACGGGGCCTCCAATCCGAATTTAGAAGAATCCAGGGTCCACGCATCGACGTCCGAGAGCGTCCCCGCGCCGCCACTACCGCCCCCGAACAGTCTTCCTTCCGTCGAACGTATGAACAGGGCTATTCTCAGTATTGAGTCCGGGACCGCGATCAAATTGACTCAGAAGTCAGAGGGGTACGACAGTGGACACGACTCGACCCCCAGAACATCCAAACATAGTCCTGCCGCGATCAGTCGCAGGGCTGAAAGTGGCTACGACAGTGTGGTGAGGGATAGTGAAAGTTCGAGCATCGACTCGGACAGTATGTCGCATTTACATGGCAGGAGGGGCAAGTGCAAGCACAAGCACGAGAAGAGTTTCTGTTCGTGGTTTCTTAATCCGTTTACGTGTAAATATATCGATGACCCGCCCGAAACGCATTTCTAACTTAGGGGTTTTCCCGACGCAAGACTGATTTTTGCAAGAAGATCTAGTTGGCCACGAACATCACGTGTTGCATACAAATTTTTTCTACGCCCGAATAGACACTTTTTTTTATTTTAAAATAGACACTAAATACCAAACATAAAACCTATACTCGTATGCTAGCCTTATCCCAAATCAAGACATTCCACGTGTATGCCAAATTTGTTTCACTAACTACGGTTATATACAATACTTAATAATTTTCAGCAATAAACTATAATGTGAAATTCAAAACTGGAAATATGCGTATTGGATTCAGTTTCTTTGTGTTTATTTGTAATTTGTGTAATTGTACAGACATTAATACTGTTTCTTTTCGAAAAGTTCTATTTTCGGCTTTGGAAAAGAGCATTCAACATTATTTTACAGATCAAAATTGTTTTTCGTGGCCAATTATGTGCTCAAATTCCCTCGCCACCACTGTACATAAACACCGTGTTATTATTTCCGATGCATAAAAAAATTCCGTACCGCCGTTGGCCGTGATAACTGATACCTCTTCTCGGCCAACTCGATTTGTAACAATTACGCAACGAAACAGTATGAACCCGTATACGTCGAAATGTGTCAAATTTATCTTTAGGATCATTTATATCACTTTAAATGTGTATAATTTGAGAATATTAAACGAAAAACTTGGCTTCTACATCTATTTTTGGTATCGATATTATTTACTTCCTGCATATCATTAGAAGTTTCGAGGGATCAAAATGATATCTTGCCAACTATTTCTAAACGAAAAATAGCTTAAGACTGCTTGTCAATTTTGATCTCGACATCTAAATTTTATACAAAGCTTCTTTATACAACTAAATGAATTTTATTTGTGATAAATTGTAAGTAGTTGTAAACACCTTTCCGTTTATTCGAATTTATATAAAATGTAAATTAGTGTAAATTTGTGTATTTATTTCAATTTTATACTGTTATTAATCATTTTTTGAATTTATTTGTAAAATAGCTGTTAGAACTATTACAGTTGTATTGACTATATAAATAAAACATTTATCAGAAGTTAAGTTTCATTCCGCCATCTGCCACGAGCTTTCCAAAGCTCTATCGAGCTTTCACCTTTCATATTTCAAAAGAGATGGCGTCCCAGCCCCACAATTACTTCTTTGACTAGCATTTGGACCATTTCAAAACAAACAAACTCATTGTTAAAGCTATCTAATTAAGATAATGAATGTGGCAACATGCATCCAATGTTGAACTGTGACCCAAGACGATACGAGATTATTTTAAGTCAGTTATAGTCAGTGGCTTTCGAAAATGAAGTTGCTTCGACTTTTCTCTTGTTGTTTGATTTTTTTCACAAGTGCGAACAGCTTACCAGTGGGACTTTTGTACAACCATAATGTGCCAGAAGCATTCAAATTACCACAAGAAAATGATGTCTCGAGTCCGGAAATTAAACTCAAAGTGCCCGTGGTTTTTTACGGAACGAAATTCAACTCGATTTTTGTAAGTAGATTCAACAGTACTTATTAGGTAGAAAAAAATGGGAAAAAATCATAGATCGGGTTAAAAACCTTCTAATTTTATCAATGAATTATAAATAAGCTGGGTGATAAGACCGATTCAAAACAAACAGCTATTTGTATAGAGCGTGGGAAAAATCTCTAATGTGTCCTTTAAAGTAAACTAAATTAGTTATAATTGAAAAATATATTATTTTCTGATTAGGTCAATTCAAACGGCTTCGTTTCCTTCCAAACCGAAATCCCCAACTTCTTTAACATCGAGTTTCCCCTCGACTACCCACTCATCGCCCCCTTTTACACCAACGTGGACACCCGAAGCACCGGAACAATCTCTTACTACGAAACCGGCGACCCCTCTCTCATACGCCGAGCCACGGAAAACGTCCGTGAATACTTCTCCGACCAGGAAAATTTCCAAGCCAAAAGTTTATTTATCGTAACTTGGTTCCGTGTTGGTTATTTCAACAGAGGCAGCGACAAAACCAACACTTATCAACTAGTGATCATCACCGACGGCGCCAAGTCATTCGTTGAACTCCTCTACCCCAAAGAGGGTATCCAATGGATCCAAGGCACCGGAGACGAGTCCGGTCTCCCGGACGCCCGCGCCCAAGCCGGGTTTATCTCCGCCGAAGGCAAAATGTACACGCTTCCGGGCTCCGGGACTGAGCAAGTCCGGAATTTGGAAGTGTGAGTGCAAACCACCAAGTCGACCGGATTTTATTACGGGATTTTAGGTGGTCGAATATTGATCTACCGGGTCAGTTCATATACAGGGTTGATGGAAACGATGTAGTAGGACCCGATTTGATTATCGACGACTTGAAGAGTGATGAGAATCCGCAGACGTGTGCTGAAGCTACGACTTATTGTCACGTCCAGGCGAATTGTCTTGACTATGAGGAAGGGTTCTGTTGCCAGTGCAAGAAGCAGTACTACGGGAATGGGAGGTTTTGTGTAAAGAAAGGTGTTATTGCAGTAACTAAAAAAAAGACACTAAGGGGCCAGTCAAATTAGATTTCCGAAAATTTACTCTACTTTGGGCTATTTTCAACAAATTTTTTAACTAAAAATAAGAAATTCTAAAATCCTGGACTTACACTCTAATTTGACTGACCTATAGTTACAAAAACTTAATTCCGTTTTTTCTAGACGTTCCCCTAAGAGTCAATGGGAAAATCAACGGTAAAATAAACGGTGAAAGACTAGAAAACCTAGATTTGCAATCATACATTGTCATGGTCGATGGCCGTGCCTACACTGCAATAAGCAAAATCCCCGAATCTATCGGTTTTGACATCCAATCGTTACAAATTTTGGGTGGAGTCATCGGTTACATTTTTGCCAAACCAATAAGAAACGCCCAAAATGGGTATCAATTCACGGGAGGTGTTTTCAACCACACTGCAATTCTCAAATTCCTAAACACAAGTCAAACGGTTACTATAAAACAGAAATATATGGGTTTGGACGTTTTTGATCAGTTGAGACTTGAGACTAACATTCAGGGGGATATTCCGACTTTACCTTTTGATTCAAAAGTAGAAATCGATGAATATCAAGAGCAATATACTTTGACGAGTCCTGGAGTAATTCAAATGTCATCAACCCGATTTTTTAAATATTTGAACGAAAATAAAGAAGAAATCACCGTTTCATATGACATTGAACAGGTTTACACCTTTGATTACTGCAAATACGAGAATGTTTCACTTGGGGAAACGTGGAAGCTTAAAGTTGGCAAAAACTTCATCAGCTATGAGAGCAAAGAGCAGATCATACGTTTCGGTTTGACTAACAAAATCATGCCTTTGGGCGAAATCGACCCTTGTCAAGATGGCCGGTCCCAATGTACCCCCTTCAGTGCCTGTGTCGTAGACGGGGACAGTTTCCGGTGCGTTTGTAACCCCGGATTCCAACAAATGTTTGCCGGGAATGAGACAATCTGCGCCGACATCGACGAATGCCAAACCGGACTTCACAGCTGCGACCAAAACGCGGCTTGTGTGAACCAAGTCGGGTCTTACTCCTGCACTTGCAACCCAGGATTCACCGGAAACGGGCAAGTGTGCGAAAACGAATTCACCTGTCATAATGTCATTTGCCCCCCGAATTCCGAATGTTTGGAGGGGGACAACGTCGCAGTATGTCGATGCATGCCCGGATTTAGCGGAGACGGGCAAGTGTGTACCCCTTTGGTCGACCGAAGTTGCCACACAGCCAACAATTGTGACCCTTTTGCTGTTTGCACAATCGACCCCAAAACCAATAGTTACTACTGCGCGTGTTTGCCGGGGTACGAAGGAGACGGTTACAGCTGTAACAAGACTGAAGTACAAAATGTTACCGAAGTTACCGTAGAGAAGGAGATTCAGAGGTGTGTCTTGGGGGTGTGTTGGTGCCCCGAAGGGTACACTTTTGAGAAAGGTACTACCTACTGTATTCCCAAGGATGTGACGACTGTGTTACCACCAACTACACTAATTCCGGATAATGGTAACTTATTTGTATTGCTAGTTTGTCAAAGTATAATAATGTTTTGTAGTTACATGTGACGTCTTAAATAATTGTGGCCCCAACGCTCAGTGTGTCTATAGCTCCGACAATGAATCGTTCCTTTGTAAATGTAACGAAGGTTACGATGGTGATGGTTACAAGTGTGAATTTGTAACCGTTTCGTGTGCGCAGGAATATAATTGTGGGCCTAATGCGAATTGTCACTATGACGAAACAGTCGGAAAATCGAAATGCGTGTGCAATCCGGGGTATTTCGGAGATGGATTCAATTGCACGATTTCTGGTAATCCTGAAGTATGAAAATTTAGATTTCAAGTTCTAATTTTCACACTTTTCCAGCCATCTGCACTTCCAATGCTGATTGCACCCAAACCGAAGAGTGTCTCCTCTCCAGCTCCCAGCGCTATGAATGCATCTGTAGGGAAGGCTACGTCCGCGATTCCCAGCACCAATGCATTAAACCCAGCACTTGTGGAGGAGGAATTTGCGTCGAAAACGCCGAGTGCCTCTACGACGACACTTATCAACTCCACTATTGTTCGTGCAAAAGCGGCTACATGGGTGACGGTATAACCGAATGCAAGCCACGTCCCATTGGTTGTAATATTGATAACAAATGCGGCCTACACGCCACCTGCGAGTATGACCCTTCCACATCCCTATATGAATGTCAGTGTGAACGCGGTTACTACGGCGATGGTTACGTGTGTTATACCGAAATCAACTGTCACATCGAGCCAACTTTGTGCGACCCACAAGCGACATGTGTTACAGATTCGAACAGGAGGTATATTTGTCAGTGTAACACAGGTTACGTCGGGAATGGAACTATCTGCCAGAAGAATCCCACCCATGAAGGGAATTTCCTACTGCTCAATCAGGGAATGTCAACTTTGAAAATCCCATTCGAGCCCACGAAGCAAAATCCGGGAAAGCCGATCCAAGTCAAGTATTTCCAGACCGCTGTTGGTTTGGATATTGACTGCTACGAGGGACGGGTCTATTGGGGTGATATAAGTGGGAGAGCTATTAGGAGTTCTACCTACAACGGGAGTAACAAAAGCGACTTTATCGTGGACGGGATTGGGTCACCGGAAGGACTAGCCGTTGATTGGATCTCAAGAAATATTTATTGGACGGATTCAACCAAAGACACGGTCGAAGTTGCGAGTATTGAAACGAGGCGAAGGCGAGTCCTGTTTGACTTCAATCTGGTTAATCCTAGAGGAATCGCCATCCATCCGCAACGAGGGTATTAACAAACCAAATAGCTGAATTTTTTCACTCACAAATCATTTCTTTTGCTTTTAGTAAAATCTTTTGGACCGATTGGGACCGCAAGAACCCCAAAATCGAATGGGCAAATGCCGATGGTACTGGCCGTAGTATTTTCCTCCAAGGCGAATCAGTCTCTCTCCCCAATTCCCTCACCATTGACTACGACACTGAACAGTTATGTTACGCCGACGCCGGAACGAAAAAGATTGAATGTATCGATATTGACAGTAAAATCAGACGTACAATTGCCACCAACTGTACATATCCATTCGGAATAACAGTCACCGATAAACACATCTATTGGTCGGATTGGATCACGTGAGTGACCACGTGGTTTATTACAACAATCTGATTGGTTATTTCAGGAAGAAAATTGAAAGAGCCGACAAAAATACTTTGACACGTTTGCCACCACTACAGGTTCCTTTAGGTGGCAGTGGAAATAAGTTGTTTGGGTTGGTAGCAGTCCCTCAGAGTTGTCCTCAATTGACAAACGTGTGCCAATATTACAAAGACCAATGCCCTGTCGATCACATTTGCCTCCCGAATGGTGCAGGAAGTCGGACTTGTGTCTGTACTTACAAAGCCGACAGTTCTGAAACACCTTCTTGCAAATTATAATTACGATTAATTAAGTTTGTAGTTTAGGTTTTTTTACAATAAAAACTCTTTTCTAATTGTTTATTTCATTCACCTCAAGCAAGTGTTAATAAAAAAACGCATTACACAATTCCAAACATTTTATTTATCAGTCCATGTTAGGAGATTAATAAAAAACAGCTACAATTCAATTACAACTAAGCCTTACAGTTATGGTAAAATTTGTACAATCTACTTTTAAATTAGTGCAAGAGAATTATCACAAAGTTCAACACTACACTAACCAAGACTGGACGCATTCGAGGAACTGCTAGGTCTCCGGACCGGAGGGGGCGGGGGCGGGGTCCTGAAATTCATCGAAGTAGACATGTAAAATTCATCGCCTTCGCCCTCGTCGCCGCTGGACGGCGTCGGGGACGGCGATGGCGGCGACAGGACGCGGTCCTCCTGCTCCTGGAGGATTTGACGGAAATCCTGGATCGACTCGTTCAAGGACCACAATTGAGAGAGGAGCGAGAGGTCCAGCTGACGAAGACTGTACTACAATCAAATTTTCTTTATTAATTATATGCTATCAGAGTCGACGACTGGTAAATGCCAAGTGATTTAAGACACCTGTATTCATATTTTCAATAGAAACTACAAGAGGAATTCAAACAAAACAAGTGTTTTGAATGTCGACCAAACAAAATCAGCGAAAGTTTGACATTTAACCCAAGTTAATGGACCGTACAGAGAAATCTTTGGATTTAGATATTTTCTCGAATTGTTTAACCAGATACGGGATGAATCACTCTTGGCACAATGAGAAAAATATTTACTTATCACTTGCTATTGCGGTGAATTTTAATTTCATTTCCAATGTAATTTCTCCGCGATTTACATTGATCGGGCGTAATGTCCTACTCCGATTTAGTTTTATTTTTAGAAATCGCTCTCGATTCTAACAAAAGTTTTGAAAGTGATTCAAAATTGCTGCGGTTTTTCGTTCAAACATTTGTTGGTGTGAAAGAATATCATCGGACGAGGCGTTCATCACCGAAGCGTGTCCTCTTCGGTTATGCAACGGCGGATTAGAGCCTTGGCTCTTTTTTTCACTTTATTTAACTCACATTTACAACCACCTGCCTGCGTTATTATAATTCATCATGCATGGTAGACCGATTCGTTTATTTCCATTTCCCATCGTTGACGACAATGGCCTCATTATCAATTCTCCCATTAAACATAAACTACACACATGTGGACTAGTTTACGGCCGGGGGGCTCTAAACTATACATAGACAAACTTACAACCCCTAACAGATTGCATTACTCAAATATGATGCTCTTGTTTTATTTTTAGTTTGGACTTTGTTCAATCGAATAAAAATTAAAACTATTTTGCAATAATAGAAGCATAAAAAAGAATTATTTAACCAGATTGTGACTGGTTGTACCTATATTATATTTCGCCTATCTCTATTGTGACGTTTCGACTATTTGCCAACATAGTAATTAAATAAAGTTATCTTATCTTAAAATAATATTAAAAGGAAAGATTTTCAGAATTTTAGATACGCAAGTCTTAGCAGACGGGACAAATTTACAGCTCATATAATACATATATTAAAACCTTATTTATAGGCTAATTTATCAATATTTATTAATTCATAAATTGAGTAGAGTAACCCAGTTATTAAATCACACGGGGTTATGTACCAAGATTTTCCGTAAATTTCCAGAAATATTAATCTTGATTTTTCTTGAAAAATTTTCGAAAGCTTACAAAAATATAAAGAGAATTCTGAATAAATATTTAAAATAAATGTTCCTACATTAATCGAGTGTTTGCATTTTCGAGTACAACACTATTTTTCATCTGAATAAAACTATAAATTGGTAGAATATTGCGGAAATACTACCCTTACTGTCCTTCAAAATCTACTAAAAAAATATGTTCTACGTTCGTTTAGTTGATAACCAAAAAGGAACCACTCAAAAATCTCAATTTTGCCTATTACAAAGCCAAATTTGGCTTTTTGCTATTTTTCTGATGATTTCGCCATTATCACTCGCCTTTTCCTGATCTTTCGCTCTCAACGAGTTCATTAAACGCAAAATCTTCTGACAAAGAGATTCGTAACGTTCGCAAGCAAGTAATTGGATGCCCCGGAAACCTCGCTGTCCTCCCACCCGAGCCAGGGTACGAGTATATACAGTTAAGTTGTTCGTTTTGAACTCTTGCGACGTCCTAGTTTCGAGTGTTGCCCCACGTGGGCAATGATTTTGAGGCAGGTCAAAAAATACTTCTTCGACGATCGGAAAAAATCCGGTTTGATATTTTAAATGACCCTTAAGGCTGGGTTCTCACGTTTATCGGGCGGAAGTTCGCCACCGGAAAAAGAAGAAAAACACGCAAAACCAGACCAAAGAACTAAAAGCACTTGACTTGGGAGAGGTGTGCGATGCATAAAGATGACCTTTCACTCCACATCTAATTGTAAGGCGTGGAGGTGGACACTCCTTGGGGCCTCAGGATCATTACAACAAAATATTATGCAAGAAAGTGATTGTTAACGTAGAAACGACATTTCGATAAGTGATAAAACGATAACTGATAAGTTCACCAAACGAAACTTTTCGATAAACAGATCAACAAACAAAAAGTAAAAAACTTACAGGAATGTGGTAATCGATAATACAATTTCAACATAAACCTGCTTCTAGTATTCTGCGAGCGATTCCAAGGTCGCCACCTTTCCAACCATATACAACCTAAGCAAAATTCTGAGAGGGAATCACTTAATGAAAAGTACATGTGGTTTTATGTAAGGTTACAAAGAACCAGTCTCGTACGACATGTAACCAGCAACGTAACCCATAGCCGGGGGCAAAGAATGTTTATCGTAATTTTTATGCGATACGATAACAGTCGGAAAAGATAAGTAGCGAATTCGATTGTTAATGGCTAATGAGTCAGACCCGGAAAAATTCATTGCATCCAATTCATAAAATAGTTTATTTTTGTTTGTGTGGTGAAACCACAGGCATGTACGACTCACAGGACCTTGACATAACCCATTTTTGATGTGTATTAAGGAAAATTACCAAAATTACCAAAAAGTCTCATTGTATTGTAGAAAAAAATACCTATTCGAACTAACTTTTTTAAAGAAAAAATACAGTAGATAACTTTACTATCGAAAGTACACAAAGATGAATTTATTCAAATTATTTTGAACAATTCAGTGTTTTATTATTCCAGAAGTGCTCTCAACTTCTGTTTTGAATTTTTCATACACTTTTTTTATTGAAATAGCTTATAGTTTTTTAGTATAATTCTGTTTCCTATTATTCCTAGTGGTTTTCGTACATGTTATTTTTTTCTTAGCATGATTGATCAAATTTATTATTTAATTAAAAAAAATACATGACAAACTATAATTACTACAAAAATATTATTTTAATGTAGTCTTTTTATTCCCTCGTCACGCTTACTTAATTACATTTCCTTTTTTTTTCTAAATCAATTTATTCAACTTTAATAAGTCCATTAATAAAAAAATCCACCTGTGGAATGCACCCAAGACTCAAATGCACTCTTAATATCATTTATTCATTTATTCATACCGTAATTTCCATATTCAAATCAATTTCATATCCCGTCCTAATGCGAATTCAATTGCCATCACTCAAAGATAATCAAAATCGATAAATCTTAGATAAAAGAAAATATGAAAACAAAAACTTACACTCGATTCACTGTTTTATTATGATTTCACATCTTTCTGTGATGCCATAAAAATTCATTTCCGCTCAGAACTCATTAATTTTATTATTATCATCGAAATTATCCTCGTGTTCACTGGTTTGTGACGTCATGTCAAATAGAAAAATAGTAAAATACGCATTCGAATGCCGAAGCCGTGAGAGATTCGCAACAAAGAACGCAGCCTACAGCCTTCAAAGGGGGAACAAATGACCTTCACACCCCCATAGGAGTACAGAAGATAGTGATTTTTTGAAAATTTAGAAGACATTTCAAATTTCGCAAAGTTTCTTTCAACAAAAAGATATCAAAAATCAAAGTTTAATAGAGTTGGGTTTGCTACTAGACACCCGGTAGATAATTTAGCCCACCTTTCAAGTTTGAAAGACATCACAATTTTTAGTTAATTTTTTTAACTTACCATTTCTCGTCGCAAAATCGCCAACTGCGTATCCAAATTCGTCTTCCTATCGCCGTTGATTTTCGGATGAGGCGGATAAACCAAATGTCCTTGCCTCATCGACGTCGTCCTTACGGGAGTCGGAGGTTTCGACTCTAATAAATTAAAACCACTGAGACTTTTGGGTAGAGGAGGTAGGCCGTGAAGCGAAGACATTGTTTTAATCCTGCAACAAAATCACGGATCTTTCATAATTTTAATTACGAATATATTTAGCAATTTCGTGACGCGTCAAGCCGCAACAATTAAAATTCATGTACCTTTCGTAATCGAGTTTTAATTTTTCGATTTTATTGTCGATAATAATTTGACAAGCAGAAAGATGCACTTCTTGTCCATCATTCACTTCGACCCAATCCGAATGTTGAATTTTATTATCACTATCACTACTTAACAAATCCGAAGGTTTTCTTTGTCTCTTTGAGATTTTCTCGTCTTCAATTCGCATACTTTCCAATTCGGAAATTAACAATTCGTGATTCATCCGATCGTCAAATTGGACTTTTTTCTTCTCATTTGTCGAACTATTACTATTACTACTCGAGTCTTCGACGACTACGACCGTCGGTACTTCAACACTAACTCGATCTTCATTTTGATCCAAAACACTGGCAAACATTTCATCAATCAAAGTGTTGACATGATTACGATCATTTAACACTTGATCCTCCTCCTTTTCCTCCTTTTTCTTCTCAATTTTCGGCGATTGAAAAATCACAGTTCTGCTACCCTCTGACACACCGACACTCACGACAGGCGGTGGCGGAGCCGTCCTCCCCGGCGCCGCTTTTCTCGTCTTTGCCAAAGCTTCCGCCACCAGAGTCTTACTGGGTCTCGGGGGCACCGGCGGAGGCGGTTTCCCCATCTTAGTACAGGGTGTTGATCGCATCATAATCATTTTAGTCACCGAATGAATCACTCGCAACACTCATCGCGGTTCTGACTATACTAAAGCGCGATAAGCAACTGGAAAGAGCGGAGGCCTTGCGACAGGTAGAAGGGGAATTTAATGCAATAGTTAAGTGCCTCAAAACACAAACAAATAGCAAACCGGTGAAAATTACTTTCCCGGCTTTTTGCAGGGCCAGGGATTAATTTCCGTTAATATGCATGATATGCGGAAGGAGAGATAACGGTAACGGGAAAATGTCAACGAGATTTTTGCAATTTTATTATTCGCGACTTTCAAACGCGACATTGAAATGAGATATTTTAATGCTTTCAAATCGATTACAATAGGTGAGAAATTGGGTTTGAAAAACAATGATGGGTTTGAGGATAAATCACTGAACAATATTATATAACGTTAAGTTTAATTGGTTTAGCGTGACCGACTCGACATATAACGTTTTTCTTCCACTAGCACGATGGGAAGAAATAACAGGACCAAAAAAAAAAAATTAATTTATAATAGTAGTGTTCTTTGAACTCGAGTATTATGTCACATGCTTCAAGGTTGACGCTAATTGCATTTAAAATGACAAAATTCAATTATCTTAATTAGAAAGTGCCATCAGAGTAATTAGGCAACCCTTTATACATTACGATTTTTTTTAATTGCCGCTATTATATCTTACACAATAGCCAACATAAAAAACAAAACTTGATTATGGCCCAAAAAAAAGACAACCCTCTCCTCTCTCCACATGCTTCGGTTAAACAGCACCTACCCACCCACCTTATTTTACTTGTTGTTAAATTTCCAGGGTTGTCTGCACATGGGACACTGCTGGTTCACTGGTTGGGACTGCAACCACTTAACAATGCAGTGCATGTGAAAACAATGTGAACACTGCCCCCACACTAAGGGGCAATCGTCTCCCGGTAATTTACAATCAGGACAACAACCATCAAATGGCATTCGACAGATTCCGCAATTATCGTCATTTGCCACCCATCTCCAAGTCGCAACCCCGGTCCAGTCTTGAAAAAAAATCGATTATTACAAAGAGAGGTTATGTCATCCAACTTACTCTTAATTGTCAATTTCATTATTTTTTTGCCATTTGGACGCTACTCAGTGTTTTTTTATCACAAATCTGACTTATTCTTTGTTTAACTTTCGTAATAAACACACAAATGAAACAACTAATCATAAAAAAAACTTGTGATGCTTCGAATTATGCAACCAGTTGTGCAGCCAGTTGAAAAAGTGTGGGAAATTCAAAACTAGGTAATCACACAACTGAAATTAACAATGATTTTATTGTTATACCACACATTATCTGTTTTAAATGATTAATCTGTGGTTATACTAACAACAATGACATTAATGTAGTCTCATGTGGCTGATTATAGCCTGTTCTGACCCAAACAACTTCCCACAGACAGTGCAAGCGCAATTTTTCGGCTCTATAATATTATGTTTGGACTTTCTGTGCGCTCTCAAAGACACATTTTGCCGAAATCCGTCCCCACAAACCTCGCATTTGTACGGCGTCTCATTGGTATGTTGCCTCACATGCGTCCTCATAGCAAACTTACTTGAAAACGCTTTATTACAATATTTGCAAATATACGGTCGCAGTTTCAGATGCGCCGTTTTTACGTGTTTATTTAAGTAAAAAAGCGTGAGAAAAGTCTTGCCGCAACTTTCACAAATGTGGGTCTTCTCCCCGGCGTGTTTCTTCATGTGGAGACGATAAGCGTACCGTTTATGAAACACTTTCCCGCACTCGTTGCAATTATAAATTTCTGAACTGTGAGTATGAGAGAGATGGCCTCTCAAACTCTCCAAACTGCGCAAAGTCGCCCCACAAAGCTCACAAATTTGGGGCCCCGAAGAATGGTTCATGATGTGCTTACTGAAATTGCTTTTGGTGATTTCTGCGTCGCAAATGGGGCATTTCTTGCGTTGGTGGGAATGACTTTTAAATTTTCGTTTACAGGTGAATTGTTTCTGACACACGTCGCATGTGAAGGGGCCCCCTGGGTCGTTAGTCTCTCGTTTTTTATCAAATGTTTTGTGAGCTTGGCTCAAGTGAATATTGTATAAGTTCTTGTATCTAAAGCTTGTATCACAATAGGGGCACTTGTGACTGGTTTGAGGGTGTTTCAAATTGATGTGGCTTTTGTATTCCTCAAGATCAATAAATGATTCGTCACATATATCACATATTTGCTCCTTGGCGAAATGTTCTCGCATATGTTTTGCTAGAGTTTTTTCAGCCACGTTGTCACCACAAATTATACAATAAGAAAGACATAGCGAATCTATTTCAGCCCCAACTTGAATTAAATTCATTTCTTGTGTAGATTCTTGCACTAAATCTACTTCAGACACTTCTAATTTCACTTCAACGTTATTTAAAATTGCTAGTTCTTTTAGTTTTTCGTCAGATTTTATAAAGTTCTGTCGAATATTGAATGCAAGTTTCATATTTAGTAAACATTTTAAACAACTTACAGGTGATATATCACTAGCATCAACCTATAAATAAAGCAGATATATTAATAAATTAAATTTGATCTAATTACCTTAATTGAAGTTAAAGTTTCCAACATATCTGAAAGACTGCCTTCTAGCAACGAATAGCAAACTGAAGGATGAGCTAAACATAACCTACAAATTCGTTTACTCATTCCTGACTATAATTATATAGTATGATAAACAGTAATAATTTATAAGTACTAATTATTGATTTTATAAATTATTCCTAAACTTGAATCGTTTATTACAATTGATTATTATTGTCAAATTGACGACAAATATTGAACAATGGTACCAACACAGCATTGTTTGATTGTGGGAAAACTAAAAAGTAAAAACCCGTTAAAAATATTGACTTCTTATCTTAAAATTTGAACGTTTTTTATTATTCTTTAGAATACTAGTTAAACAAATTATTAATTATTAAACAGCCTACAATTCATAAAAACCATAGCGTAAAACTCGTCAAAAGATTTCCAAAAGATTCATAATTCATAAAAAATAGTGTATTAACATCTTCCAGGTTGGTGTCTCTGCTTGGTGAGATTTCATGTCAAAGATGGTGGTGTTTGGCGGGTCCATCGTATGATATTTTCATTTACAATTTTTGGGTTTTATTTGGGATAATTTTTACTGTTAAACACTACTAAATTCTAGTGAATAAGTTATTACTTTGTATATAGTATAAGTTTTTTGTTTGGTATAAATAATATGGAACTGCAGAGAGGTGTATGTAGTTTGTGTTTAGAAAATAGCAGAGTTTTAATTTCTCAAGATGCCGAAGAATTTTGTAAATTTCTTCCGGATATTCTAAAAGAGGATTTTTTAACAAATTCAGCAGTAAGTTTGCATTTTTCGAAAAACATAATCTATTTTTAATCTAGTTTCAGAAAATTAAAGGTTTACTGAAGATTTGTTCTTTATGTTGCTTTAAAATACAAGTTGCGAACGAAACGAGAGACTTGTTACGCAGAAATGAAGATAATGACACCAAAAATGGGGACATTTGTTACTTCTGCAAAACCGATAAATATGTCGTAAAAATAGGAAACAACTGGAAGCAGTTTAATGACCGAACTGAGGGCCTTTTAAAACAAGACGATTTTCCAGTTTGTGTGTGTCCTAGATGCGTTTTCTACTTTGACACAATTTTTAACTTCAAATCAAAGCTATCTTTCAAGTTTGTAAGTTTCAATGTTTTAGTGTAATAACTAGAAAGTCTGACTTGTCTTTGCAGCCCTACTTGGGAGTTTTTAAGAAAAAATCAGAGGACACGCCACAGAAACAGAATGATACACCCAAGAGAAAGTCCCTATCAAAGTCGCCACCCAGTTCAAAAAAACGTAAAATTTTCGATAATTGCTTTGATTATTTGCAACCCTTATGCAATAATAATTACCATGTTGATAAGAAACTCAAACGTGACTTAAAAATATACAGAAAAATCGCTTATGTTAATCTGGAAAATGCGAAGAATGTTGATTTAGAAGAAACGCCGAAAAAGCGACCTAAAATCAAGATAAAATTGGTCAAGAACAAGAAAGAAAGCCACAAGTGTAAATCAGAAGAGCTCCCAAAAACTGACCCCGACAAACAGAAAGCCAGGAGATACTCGTGTGTTGAACCATCAAAAGAAGCTCCCGAAGAGCTTGAAGAAACTCCAAAAGCCGCCAGCGTCTCAACTCTAGTGCCTAAACGTCGCGTTTCTGATTATATGTATGAAAATGAGAAACAAACGGAAAGTTCCGACGAACCCAATTCAGAAGAAATTAAAGATATTGTTCATAAATACATATCTGAAACGAACGACAGTCAAATTTCTGAAGTGCTTGATGAGATTACAGAGCAGAAAGCGGCGGAGCAAACTGAAGTGGAGCAAACAGAGGTGGAGCAGAACGGTGTTTTAGCTGCAGAGGAAGATATAGAAAATAAAGAGGAGAAAGCGGAGGAATCATCTCAAGCGCCTGAAATACAAAATGGAGAGACCTCTGAAGATGCTGACTCAGTCAGTTTAGAAGAAAAGAAGAGCGAAGACTTGATTGCTGAATCAACGGAATTTATTGAAACTACTCCCGTGGAAAATGTTTACGAAGCTAGCGAATCTGAGACGAAAAGTAACCCAGAAACCGAATCTCTCAATGGATCTGAACGTAAAAAGAAGCACGTTACATTTAGTGATGACCTTTTTACCGAATAAATTTTTACAGAAAAAGTTGATTTGTCCAACGTTAGTAATAAATATAAGGCTATATTCTCTAACTTTTAAAATTATTTGAAGGGCCTTTAATATAAAATAATGACATATAATTGACCATTTCAAAATGTTAAAAGTTAAAAAAGCCTGTTAGTTTATTTGAAATAAATGACTCATTGTAACAATATTAGATCATTTTTTATAGTACTTCCTCGTCCATACTAAACTCCAATACGCTTTGTTGTAATGATGTATAAGAAAAAGAAAACTTGCTCTGTTGCGTCCAGAAAAACTCCTTCTCGTCGATCCACTTGATCAGTTTCATAATATTTTCGTGACCTTCGTCACCGTCACACTTTTTAATCAAACGAATGAAAGCCGGAAAAAGTTCTTCACCTAAAAAGGATACATAACACGGAGTAACGAGAAGAAGTGGGCCCACCGGCTGAAATAGCCGCCCAAGTTCGGACTTTCTCCCTCCGTTCCAAATCTTTAATATCATTAAAAATATAAAAAGCCAGCATTAAAAGAGGAGTGGCTTCGTAGGGCTGCTCCTGATTTAGATAATACTCCCCCATGTATCGGTATGCTTGGGCCGTATAAAATTGCAGATCGTGGTCTTCGGCCAATTGTTTCAACTCTTTGAGACATTCGAGCGACTCGAATGCCTTACCGTGTCTGAAATAGTGAAATTTAAAACACAACATTGACTAAAATCATATAGAGCTAAATCTCTGTACTTACTGTAAATACGCAAGTGCCATTGAAATTTTGGCGTCGCAAATACCGGACACGTCTTTGCGGCGGACAGCCCTATTCAAGGCTTTTGTAATTGTAGCAATAGCGTCCGAGGTCCTTTTTAGTAAGACTTCGCAACGTCCCCTAATAATCAAAGCTGTGTATTCCCATTTATGTTCGCAAGCTTCAGAAGCTCTTTTTCGCGCGATGTTACAAATTTCGGACGCTCTGGCCGGGTCTGTTTTCATCAAAATTTGTGCTTCTTCCATTAAAGATTTGTAAAGGAGACGGCAAGACTCAATAAAGACTATGTCTTGCTTTTTATTTAGTATCTTGGTACAGTTCCAAGACTTGCCTTGTGACATCTCTCTTGCCAAATCTAGGTAATTTTTCCCAGCTTCTGCCTTTTTGCCATTTTCGACTAAATATTTTCCGATTATGAAATAAGCTATAGCTTCTTGCTTTTGAAAATCTCCGGGATATTCCATCGAAACACACTGATACAAGAGTTGCTCCCCCAGCCACCACCAATCATCCGGTCCGAAAGCATAATGGGCCGCCAAATGAAGCATCTGTTCCCATTCTGTGGCAAAATCCTCAGCATTGTGAGCCCTCTCGGCCTTTGTCAAATACTGAGTTAATAAATCCAAGTTTTGCTTGGAATTTATAAGTTGGGGTCTTAGCCAAATGTGGGTGCCAGGACCGGCTTTCTTCCGAGTTTTCTCTTGTAAATCCAAGAGCTGTTTAATAAATTCTGCCGTACTTGTGTAACCACTTTCGGTGAGTTCTGCCAGAAGGGCTTCGTGGTAGGGCAAGCGAAAACGCCTGATTTCTTGAAGGGTGAGAACCGGAAGTTCGTCACGAAGTTTTTGCTGAAGGACGCGTTTTTTGTGCCGCTTCATTTGCTCTTTCTTGATCGGAGACATGTTAAAGTCAATAAGTTGCTCCTCAGGGTCTGGGGGGATACTCATGGAGTGGCTCATGGTGGAGGTTTGGGATTTAAAACTGTCAAAAATGATTAATGTCGCAAAATAATTCAATGATCAGTTTCAAAATTTTAATTCTGTTAAATGTCCTGTGATAAGTAGTTTTCGAGTTATTTCCCGTCAAAATCCGGAGCTGAAATAAAACCATATTTTGACGTGGCGGGAAACTACCCTGGAATTACTTGATTCTAATGTTAATTTAGAAGAGCACTTTGAAAATACCCACAGTTTTAATATATCAAATTATGAATCAGTAAATTATTTATCAATTTATCAATATTAATTTTTTGGAATAATTCCTTACTTATACAACCAGTAATACATGCGACTCTAGATCTACCGACAGAACACCAAATCCTCATATTTTATAGTTTCATATCATATATATTTTTAATTTTAACATAACTGTGATTATAAAACGTATTTTCGACAAAACCTTAAAAAAAATGCGTCAAATATTGGAAATAAAAATATTTATACGATTACGGAGTTACTCCGTTTCTATTCTTACTTTGCCCGAACACAGTTCTTGCAAATGTCAATAAGCATTGTCATTTCTGTCAATAGTAGTGTTTTGGGTGCGTTTAGGGTGTAGAACCGCTGTTTCGTACATAATCACTCCTCTTTTAATATAAATGCAGTTAAACCTGCGTTAAACCCGAGTAAAAATCGTCGTTTTATTTAACGCACAGGTGAGTCCGCCCGCATTTGCCCCCAAACCCTAATTCTCTTCCCCTAGTCATGGCTTGGCGCTTCAAAGCCTCAAAATACAAAAACGCCGCCCCCATCGTTCCTAAACCAGAGAACTACGTGCGCGATATCTGCGTGGGGTCTTACCAAACCTATGGAAACAACATTGCAGCTTCGGCCAAATTCATGGCCTTTAATTGGGACCACGCCGGTTCGAGTCTTGCTGTTCTACCTCTCGATGACTCAGGCCGGAAGAGCAAACTGATGCCCCTTTTGCACGCGCATTCCGACACAGTAACCGACTTGGAATTCTCGCCGTTTCACGATGGCCTCTTGGCCACGGGGTCCCAAGATTGTCTTGTAAAAATTTGGCATATCCCCGAGGCGGGGCTTCAAGAATCGCTCAGTAACCCCGAGTGTACGTTTTCGCATAAGCAACGTCGAGTAGAGACCGTGGGGTTCCACCCCACGGCGGATTTCCTCCTCCACTCGACCTCGTACACGACTTTGACTCTCTGGGACCTAATCTCAGGTCAGGAAGTCTTCTCCAACGCCGAACCATCAGATGTTATCCAATCGGTGAGTTGGAAAAGAGACGGGACTCTCATCGCGACCTCTTCCAAAGATAAACAAGTCCGAATTTTGGACCCGCGGGTCGAGCAATCGTGCATTAAGACGGCTAATAGCCACCAGAGCATCAAAGACTCGAGGATTGTTTGGCTCGGTGATAGTAATAGAGTCTTGACCACGGGATTTGACGCTCAAAGACTCCGACAAATCATCATCCGTGATTTGCGAAATTTCGGCGAAGCGGAAAAGAGCATAGAACTTGATTGTTCTACCGGAATTCTTATTCCGCTCTATGACGCCGATACCGGAATGTTGTTTTTAGCCGGCAAAGGTGATTTTTATGCTTGACGAATTTTTCGTTTTAATTATTGTAATGTAGGTGATACAACGATCGGATATATGGAAGTTATGGACAAGGAGCCGTATTTGATGGAAGGAATACGGCATTCAGGAGAGCAGACCAAAGGGGCTTGTCTTGTACCCAAAAGAGCGCTGAATGTTATGCAAGGCGAGGTAAATAGGATTTTGCAGCTGACAAGTACCTGCGTTATTCCGATCACGTATCAAGTACCCAGGAAAACTTACAGGTAATTTGATAAGGTTTGATAAAAAAGAAACATTAGCAAAGTCATCGATTTTCATAATTGTTGTTGTTTAATACCGTTGAGCTAGCAATTTGATTCAAAATTGAGGACTGAATTAAAAAGGTTTAGATCATTAATCCGCATTTTTATGCAATTTGTTTGAAATAAAAGTTTATTATTATTTTCTTATTTTAATTTAATTTTTTTGCTATTCATAAAACATAGTTTTATTTAAATTGTTTTTAAAAATGTTTTCGTTAAAAAAATCGACCTAAAACGTGTTACTTTTTTGTTTTAGAGATTTCCACGCCGACTTGTACCCCGACACCCCCGGATACAAGACTGAATTAACGGCCGCTCAATGGTTGAACGGCAAAAACATTCCATTGCCGAAAATTAGTTTGGATCCTTCTAAACGCGAAAATGGCGAAGAACCAATCATAGTAAGTTTTCTTCTATTTTTTTTGTCTCTCCTTAAAAAAACAAAAAGGTAGAAATTCTTCAATTTTTAAACACTTTGGTGCATTGCATAAATCAGGTACATAGAGGACCCCTTTTGAAACTCCGAGAAGAGTACGAAAACGAAAAAGTAATCGAACCAAAACCCGTCCCTAAAAAACCCTTTGAACCTAAAATCACGGCTACGATAACGAAAAATGATTTTCATCCGGTAAAGGAAATTCTAAAAGATTTAGAAAAGTCGGAAAAGCCGGAAATTCAAGATAACAAAGTTGCGGAAAATAACAAGATTAATTTGGAAGAAACAGCAGTACCGAATGTCGTACCACCAAAACCCTTACCGCGCACTTCTAGAACCGGTTCGATTTGTGAACCACTGGAAGACCAAAATAACCCTCCTAAACCAGTCGCTAGACCTAGGACGAACAGCGCGATTCCTATCGTCACATCAGTTAACCCCAATGTGCCCATAGCAGGAGGATACAAGGTTAATGTTGTGTTGTAGTTCGGAATTTTTTGTTTATTTCGTATTTTTTGTTGGGCACCAATTATGCTTTTTCTACTCTCAAACCTACAGTTATATTCTTCACTCATGAAAACGATCAATTTTCAGCCTCGTTTGGGTCCAAAACCCTTCACCCCTCCGAAACTCAACGAATCGGAAAGCAGTTTCGACAAGGTGTTTTCGGTCCCGGCCGTTCCCGGACAACCGCAACAAAGTAACGGAGTCCATGAGCCGAGAACTCCAGAATCGCTTCCCCCCACTCCCTCACAACCGGAAAAAGAAGTTGAGGAGGAAGCACCCGAACCCCCGAAGACGCCAAGTACAGCCGAACGAAGGAAACTCTTCGAGAGCAATACCAAGGAGAACGAACCGGAAGATAACTTTGACGTTATCGATCAAAGCGGAAATTTTGAAAGGGCCTCGCCACAAAGGAGTAGCATAGCTGAGAGGAGAAAAATGTACGAAAATCGATCGCAGTCAGTACAGGAAACGCCGACTATTATCGAGAAGGCGGGAGGGTCACCGGTGATGTTGCGTAGGAAGGATTCGTTCAAGAATAGAAAGAATGTGGAGGATGTGTTGAAAGAAGATAATAACAGAAAAAGTGGACAAGTGTCGAAACAAATGTCCCTAGATCAGGGGGCCAGAAAGAGCGAGAATTTTGCCACGCCCACACCGAAGAGAACGTCCACAGTATTTGGTAAAGTTTTTGCCTATTTTGCGTATTTTATTCTTCTAAAGATTCATTCTTTCCGAAGGTCGGGTATCGAAATTCCGCCACCTCAAAGGCACACCTGCCCACAAATCGCTCCACATCGAGAACATCCGCAACCTCAGCCGCCAAATCTCGGGTGAATGTGACGGCTTCCACGGTAAATCACCCTATAACCCCTTCTATTTCCGCTTACAGTAAGTACCATTTCAGCAAACCCCGACCGCGTGGCGGTACCTCTGAGCGGCCCTGGTGGCAAAATCGCCATTTTCGAGTTAAGCAAAACGGGTAAATTACCCGATGGAGTGATTCCTGCCCTAGTCCATGGCAGTAACATCATGGATTTCGCTTGGGACCCATTCGACAATCAACGTCTGGCAGTGGCGTGTGATGATGGGGTTATCAAGTTGTGGAAAATCCCAGAATCTGGACTCAGTGAACCAACAAACGCGGCGGAAGCCGAGTTTAATGCTCATCCCGATAAAATTTATTTTATCAAGTTTCATCCTACTGCCAAGGATGTCTTGGCGTCGGGATCGTATGATATGACTATAAAAATCTGGGATTTAACGAATTTGAATGAGAAGATTGTCTTAAGGGGGCACACGGATCAGATGTTTAGTTTCGCGTGGTCGCCGTGTGGGGCGTTTTGTTCGACGGTGAGCAAAGATGGGAAAATCAGGATTTATAAACCAAGGGCCGGGGATTTGCCCATTAGAGAGGGGAAAGGGCCGGTTGGGAGTCGAGGAGCGAGGATTGTTTGGGCCTTGGATGCAGGATTTATCGTCGTTACAGGATTCGATAAAGTTTCAGAGAGACAAATTATGGTTTTTAAAGCCACTGATTTGTCAAATCCATTAAATACGATTGGTTTGGATGTATCGCCGGCTATCTTGATTCCATTTTATGATGAAGACAGTTCGACTTTGTTTGTGACGGGGAAAGGCGATTTGACTATTTATGCGTTCGAAATTACGGAAGAATCACCCTATATATGCCCCTTGAGTCACCACAGGTGCAATAATCTACACCAAGGTCTTTCATTTTTGCCAAAAAATGTTTGTGATGTGACTAATGTTGAATTCGCGAAAGCACTAAGACTCACTAATAATACGATAGAGCCCTTGTCTTTCACTGTTCCAAGGATTAAAGTAAGTTTTATTTGGTGTAATTTCAAAAAAATATATATTAAAAATTTAGACGGAACTCTTCCAAGACGACTTATTCCCCCCGACCAAGGTCACTTGGAAACCAAGTGTGACAAGCATAGAATGGTTCAATAATAAAGATAAAAGCCCACAAAGGATCAGTCTCAAACCAGAAGGCATGGATTTGTGTAAGTGATGGAAAAGTAAATGCCAGCATGCTTAGATTTCTGTTTTATAAAAAAACACCCCAGTATTTTATGTAAAGCCATCGGAACATCAAATTGTAATTTCAAATCGAAAAATTTCTTTATTTGTTAGTTGCTGCATGAATTTTAGTCTCTATCGTTGATGGTTGTAATTTTTTTTTTTCAGTATCCGAGTCTCAAGGTCAGACTAATCCTGAAAGGACCATAAATAAATCTGCTTCCACTCCTTTTATCGGAGCCTCTCAGCCTTACAATAGGTTAGCATGGAATCCTGATTTAAATGAAAAAACTAAACTGAAACAAGAGGAGGTAAATACTTGATTTTTTCTCACCTCCTTTTGCATTTTTGTGTTTTTTTTAGTTACAGAAGTCTGTAAGTAACAGAATGGAAGTCAACTTGAAATTGGAACAGGACGAAATGGAAGGAGTTGATGAAAAAGAATGGACCGATTAATTTGAAATTTTGACTCTTTAGCCCGCCTTATTATACATGACATAATTTTTAATTTAATTCCTAGTATCGCATAAGATATAATCATCGCTTAATTTCGATATTATGCAATTTATAAAAGTGATTTTTTAATATTTTTATAGATTTTACGCTTTAATATTTTTCTACAGTTATTATGACATCTAGTCAGATTTTTTTCTATGTGATCTCTTTGATAATTCTCCAAACATTCCGGACTTCGCATTTATCCTGCCATAGCGGTGCCAAAATTAAAATGACCAAATTTTTTGCTCACTCCCGATAAACCAATCGCTCAAAACAATTTTTTTAGTCATTTAAGTGCTATAATTTATTTTGTATTGTGTAATTTAGTGTTGTGACAGTGTAGGATGTAGTTCATGTAAGGTTTAAATGTCACTAAATTATTTATTACTTTTTATTTCCTGATAAAAAAGCAAATATACAACTTTTCCAGATAAATATTTTTTTTATTTAGAACCTAATCATAGAGGGGCACCGACACGATCCCTTGGGATTAATCGAAGCTCCGAACCATGTTTTAAAAAGACGTTACCAGCTGTTTGTTGGGGATTAATCCCTACACCATCATCTGTAATAATCGCAGAGGTAGCTGGGGGCACTTTGAACTCCTCAGCGGCGAATTTTAGTACTGCTGTGAAAGGAGTTGCTTCTGGAACACTTAATCTACAACAGATCAATAAAAAAATACAAAAAACGATTTTAACATTTATTTTTAATTTCGTTCCATATCTTTGAGTCTGTACATTTTTCAGCCTCTTTTAACATATTCCTTACATAATTCTCAATAAGTGAATGCTTACACAAAGTTATGAAAATTGTTTTTAATTCATTATACGTTATCTCAGGACATATACTTATACTAGAATTGGTCATCCACTCGGAATTTATTTCTTCCATCATGCTACCGAGATAAATTAAAAAATTACAAAAATATTCCAAAAACTCACTATAATTAATACAAACTTGGACCAAACAATTACCGTCGATTGTTTTAGTAATTGTGAGCCAAAAATTTTTACTGAGAATACTCCTATCTAACATTTTTTCCAAAATACTTTGCAAAATCAGATCCGTAACAGGGTTTTTCACTTCAAGTGCTAAGATTCCTAATAAAACTGGAAGAGAATTTTCGACTTTAAAACTAGTCAAGGATTCCTTTACTAGTGTTAAGATTATGTCTTTATTGCCATTCTCATAGTCTCGAATCCACTCATTTAGAATTAATTGGTGTTTTAAATTATTTACGTTTATAATAGTTTTATTAGCGACACAAAATTGTGAAATTGCTTCAAAAGAAGCTGAAGTCATGATTAAATCCTTTAATACAGCCTGCAATCTGTCTTTAGAAAACAATGAAGTGTACATGCGAACCGCTATGTCAATAATCCTTTCATTTAAAGGCCTACATTTGAAAAACTTGACTAAAAGATGGTCGCACATTTTTGCGTAGAACTCGTAGTCATAAACCACAATCTGATTTTTCTCGCCCCAGACATTCAACAATCCAAAAAACTGTTCCCTACTGTTCCTCTCATCACATTTTTGTACTGTTTTCTCAATAAAATGACCCAACTTAAAAACCAGTTTAATATCTTCCGCCGTCACCGTTTTAACCCAATGCTGATTCTCGTAAATTTGGTTTACATTATGAAATGATGTCAGAATTTGTTTTATGTTTGCCGCTGAGGTGTCATATATGGCCATAGCATGGCGTATTTTGGTAGCTACTGTCATTTCTGAGTCGGTTTATCTGCCAACAGAAAAAAAACAATTAGGTTTGAAGGACAGTAACTACCAAAATTGGGGCTATTTACTAAAAACTTACACTTTAAAAGGGAGCTTGGGGTCCGACGTTAACGTAATTTTAAAAGTGACTTTCGATCTGGAAAAGAAGAACGATTATGGGGGCGAACATATGGTGACAACCTTAAAACTTACGCTGCCATTGTGACTTATAATAAAACAAAACTATGTAGCTTAGGGGTTATTATAGCTGGTTTCGGCTTGTTGTTAATTTAAATAATTAAGTGGAAAATCACTGTTTAAAGTTTCTTTAAATTCCACTAATTTTGGAATGTCAAACGTCAAAACTTGTGTCACTTCTGTATCCTTGTGTTTGTGCTCTGACTACCTAATGTGCAGATGAGCGAATATAAAAATAACAGCATTTTTTAGATTATTTATATTATGTTATTTATAAATTAATTTATTCTGTACATTTACTTTTAACTTTTGAGTCTTGCGGCGCGGCGCTATTTATAAAAAAAGTGCTTTAATGTGCACATGATGACAAATACAGGGTGAATCATTTAAGTAAAAGATCGTAAAATTGAAATAATTTATTAACAAAATTGATTACAAGATCAGTCAAACTGTGTTAATACAAATTGTCCAACGTTGAAAGTATAAAACATAAAAACGACATGGATATGTGAATTAGACACTAAAAATTGCCTAACAATAACTATGTACACAAAATAAAAAACTTAAAAAGCTATTTACAAAAGTCCTAAAATATACAAATAAACTTAATTACCTTCAATCGATAGCGGATCAGTTTTGATTATATCAGGCATCACATTCTGTAAAAAAAACTGTAGAAAAACAAATTTAAGCCCATTTTTAACTTACTTCTATTATAATAGGGGTTGCGAGTTCAATATTGTTGTAGGGAACCCCAATCGACCTTTGTTGCGACTGTTGTTGCTGTTGTTGTCTTTCCATTTCCTCTCGTCTTTTTTTAACCGAACCGGAGTGAAACCGGCCACCCTCGCCCCTTATCCGATTCATTGCATGTCTGTGTCGTGATTCGTGCAAATATTTCTAAAAAATAATCAAAAACAGTGAGAAATTCGGAAAAACTTAATGCCGGTATTACAGGTCTCTCTTTTGGAATTTTGCCTTCAGCCTCCAATTTCGCCCTCGCTTGTCGCCTTTTTAATATTCTCCTGTATTGTTTGGCGTTGACGTAGAGAGGTTCCTCTTCCAAGAATTCGGCTGTTCCGGGAATAGGCACTCGTTGGAATTGTGTCCCACTGGACCCTGGCACCATCTAAAGATACGACAGTTTTTAAATTTTGTTTCCTCAATTGGCAATAAAATGGTGTTGTAAAGTCTGTGTTAAAATGTTTTACGTACGTCTGCGGTATTTCTCACCATGACTAAATTGCCGTTAGCCATAGTCAGTTGGTTTCCTGAAGCTGCGGCGATCTGTGGAACCACCGTCTGCGAGGGGGAGGTCACCGCCGGCTGAGCGACTGCAGTCGTGGTGGCGGCCGCTGGGGGACTACTCGCAATTTGTACCAGACTCCCATTGATATTCAACACTACCAACAAAATTTTAGTTCTGAAATATTTTTAAAATTCTTGTAGTACCTGTAGGCTGCGCTTGTTGCAAGGTCGTGTTATCGATGGCCACTGGTTGATAAATAAAAGTCTGTCCGTCCAAACTATGAACGATTTGGGCTTGCTGGGGTTGCTGCAAAAGGACTTGGCCTTGGGCTGTCTGGAGACTTGACACGGGTAGGACTTGTATCTGTTGGAGGCTTTGAGCCCCGGCGGGGGCCACTTGAATTTGGCCGCTTTGGGGCACGGCATGCACCATGATTTGTTGCCCATTGGCCCCTTGGATGACCTGACCGGTGTTCATCTGCATGACTTGGACTTGCTGGGGGCTCACGCCTTGAACGGCTTGCATGACCACTTGGCCGTCGGTGGTCGTGGCGATTTGCTCCATCGATGGAGGGGCTGTCGGAGGGTCAGTCAGAAGGTGCTTGAGACGAAAAGTCGCTGATACAAGGGTTGAACATATTTGATAACGGGATAAATAAATAACCGTTTTTGCCCACGTTTCAAAATAAAAATGATCCTCAGGTCTGTTGCTGGAACTCGAGACAAGGTAGGAAATTTGGATTCTTGGTTATTAAAACAGGAAACAGCATTTTGGGATTTTAGTCTATCATACGCTCGCCAATTCTCAATTTCTTCACCAAAACTTCATTTTTTTTTTTTCACTAGAATCTAGGACTTCAACCCCAATCTACCTAAAATAAAATGCCAATTCCAGTTTTCTTTAATTTATTTGTCAGGTGGAAAAATAGAAGCTATTTTCAATATTATACGTTTTTGAATCTTACTCATGTAGTATGTTACGAAGGTATAAAATTTAATCATTTAATATTAAATTTCCTCTTAACTGAATTGCTTAAGCCTTAATCACAATACAATTACAATTTTATTTTGTACATACTCGTAAATTGTAACTCATTCTAAATAAACAAAATTTTCAACTTCTCAATGCAAAATTTGTTCACAAATAAAATATAGGATAAAATTTTGTGAGAAAATTAGTCTTTTTAATTGTCCTTATTTTCCATACATACTGGCTGCTTCAAAAGTGTCGGACCAACTCTCAAATGGTGCTAAGCATAAAAATGAATTCAGATTTTTTTCAAGCCTTTAAAAAAAAACTGGAACTGACAATTCCCATGTAGACACCTTAGCTTTTTTGTTTCCGTTGTTGTCTAATTTAATTTATTGTTGAACTTTGTTAATTTGTTAAATATTTTGTACACCATAAGACACAAATTGGAATTTTTTTTCAAGAGGCATCTGTTCAATGTTGCAAGATCTGCCGTTTCCGCTAATTAAATTCAAGAAAACATGATCTGAACGGCCAAAAACTTAACTCAAAATCTAACTTTTAAATAGCTATATCTCGTGAAAAAAGGCTCAAACAATTTTTTGTCATCGGAACTTTTAATTCAGTTGGAAGTCACCACTATCACCACCGAAGAGATGATCCGACACTTTTGTTAAATGAAAACCGTAATAGTTAAAAAAAAATACATTATTAATAATTATTAATTTACAATCGACCTATACATACCTACCAATTTTTTTCATAAATATGAATTTTATTCCGTAATTTCAGTAAATATCGTGTGATCAAATAAATTTGGGGTTGAAATCAACTCTGAGGAACAAGACTCGAGTCTTTGTTTGATTTATTAGAAAAATTTGTTGTCACTATTTGTCAAATGAAAGATAATTCGATCTGTAAATTAGAGCGTTTGTGTAATGTTGGTTGCATAGTATTAGATAATTATGTTTAAATTTTAAAAAAAATCAATTTGAGAAAAAATTTAGAAACGCCTTAGCAGTTAACACGAAAGTGCTTTTTGGACTCCCATATGGTTATTCTCCTTGGCTATCGTCTCGATGAACAGATTTTATACAAAAAAATCAACTATATTATGGAAACTGAAAACTATATCTTTTTTTGTCTTTAGGTGTCCATAATTGTGCATAACCTCATGTTTCTGTTTCTTACACCTATCAGTAAATTTTTTGGTATGTTTGGCCCAAATTTAAATTTCCTGTCAATTTTCACAAAACTATTTTCGATCAACGGAAAGTCCAATAATAATTGTAAATCATCAAAAATGTTGTTTTTGACAAATGTGAAATGTTTTTCAAAAGAAAAGGTCAAATAGGTATTGGTCCTAGACAATTTAGGTAAATTGCCTCAAAGATTTGATTTTAATATTCAAAAACGATATCAAGACGGTTGGAGAACAGATCCCTTTAAACCTTCATTCTTTGTCTTGTAGGTTATGAATTTAATGTGTGTGCAAGTGTGTAAGCCTCGAAATGCATCAAAATTTGGAGAGATGATTCAAAATGCATCGCAAAGCCGAATTTGTGTCGGTACATGGAATTGCTAACACAGTGTCACAAAGGGCTTTCCAAATCCATGGAAAATGTAAATCAGGTGTAGCCTTCACAATTGCAGCGTTTGGTCGCCATTACGCCTTGTCTATGTCGTAACGTAGTGAAAATAGCAAATTCGTCGGTGGTTCAGTAATAAACAATTGTATTTTGCCGGTTCAACCCTCGAATCATGCACCGAATATGTTTGATAATTTGTGGACTTACATTGGATATTTTAGTCTGCACTTTCCCAATGATTGGTCGACAAATTGTAGACCAATGGTCGCGACGCACTACACACGATTCGTTGGAACCTGGTTGTGTATTGGTGGTGATGGCTACCACTCCCTTGCCAGCTACGACCGGTCGATGCCCCGTTAGCTTATCGACGGGCGCAAACTACAAGCGGCGGGAAACCCGTGGCCAATTACAAAAGTAGAAAAGGAAAAGTTCACATAAACGATCGACACGCAATTGAAACACTTTTCCAAAAACAAAACCGATTATTTAACCGAAACAAAATCCTATCAATCATGTATTACAACCAAATATCAAAATATCAACTGTTTTTGAGCAACGACCTTGATGTTTGTCACCGTGAACAAGATTTTATCGATTAAATTCAAATCTCGCGCCCTTTCAGCCGCGCCCTCTGTCTTTTAACTCAAGCCAGTGGCGTAACAAACCGTAGGGTATCAGGGGTTTGAAAACGCGCCAAGCCTTGGATAGACTGTTTATTAATGCCAAAAGCACCTCTCGTGGTGCCGCTACATCAGCATAGATGTTGTACATTTTTCTGACAAAAAGGCAACATTTAGTTCAAATATAGAGAAAAACATACTAAAATATTTAATAAATCCTATGCAAGCTTTACAATTATAAATCTATGTTACATGCAGATATCCCTATGTTACATAAAGTTTACAAACGGTTTCAGGCCAAAGTCACATTAATATCTATTTTATTTTTTATAAGAACATTGATAACTTGTACGAACATGAAAATGTGATTTTTTAAATATTTTGGTCCAACTAACATGGTTGTGGCAGGTTACTTAATGCAGTCAGTATGTGCAGTCAAGAATTTAGTAACATAGTTCTGAATTCACCCCAAACAAAATAAAAACGGGAATTCAGAAAATATGGACGTCACAAATAATCACAAAAGTCATGTACCCTGCTAATGTTTCCAAATACCACAGTTTCAAATCAACCAAAATTCGAAAATAAATGACAAGTCGGAGAAATAAATACAAATGATATGTCGGTTACTATACTATTAAATTATTCCATTAGCAGTATACAACAGATTTTTTTCTCGTAGGACCAATTTTCCTAATATACATTTCTTCTAAATTTTATCTAGTTAGTATAGTTTAAAAGTTGCATTTAAGCTTACAAATTTCACAAGTTTCGAAAAAATAACTTTGAAATAAATTCCTTATGGGATTGTCTAAGAATTACAGGAATTATCAAGTGCAACATTACAGTTGAAAAACAGCTAGAGTAGGTATTATGACTGACATACACTACATCACCGAAATCTAATTATTTTTGAGATAAAAAACAGCAGTGTTAAATTTTAGTAGGTTTTTTTTTAGTAAAACTGTAACCATCTTATACATTTTTGTACTTAAATAAATATAAATCACCCATGCTTATATTAAGAGTAATTCCCCCAACAAACTTCCGCCATTTCCACCTGTCAAAAAAATTTTAAATCACAGGATTTACTAGTACCAAACATGAAACGGAAATGAAGTAACATACGCACTCAACAACTATATTTGAATTCAAATCCAAATATAGTTATTGAGAACGTATATTTCGTTACCTGACTTTTCTAGAATTTATACAACCTATATACACGTCATAAATATACATCTATTATTTAAACAATGCAACATGTTTTTGTACTATTCATCATTTTGTATTTGTATGCGGCGCAAATAGCTGAAATTTACTAAGGGACATTACGATAAAAAAATAAACACCAAAAAAATCCGACATTCCATATACAAATGGTTACGTTAGTTAGTTAATTAACAATATACATTAAGATTAACTCACTACGACAGCCTATCACCATATAAATTTCGGTGCGTACACCTCTAATTTCGCTATATATTGACATCAAACTACACCAGTCTTGTGTAACACTAATAATATAGTAAATCTACAAAAGAAAAACCGGAAAATTGTCAAACGGTCGTTTCGAATTTGAATTTTGGGATACTTGAAACGCCGAGAGACACTTTACCGATTTTTCTTTGATTCTATTCTGTAGTGCAGCCTTTAGATCATTAGTAAAAATCTTAAATAGTTTATTACATATCAGATCGGAAGTGATTACATTTTGATATTATAAAATTTGATCTAATCGCAAAACAGAATGAGAAAAACTACAACCAGTTTAAGCGTTTCTATACATAAATATGTGGTAACTAATATAAAAAATAAACCAACCCAATTATAAGCCAGATATATGAGTAATAACACAATTCAATGTATTTTAATCAATTCTATAGAGAGATCTGTTAGTTTTAATTGAGGTAATTTGAATTATTGTGCTTTTTTGCATTTTGATATTACACAGAACGATTCACAATACATTAAATCGCATCATTGTGGCATAATTTACGATAACATACAGGTATTATTGGTTCCAAATTGCCGACAGAGTTTATTCCAAATAGTTGCTAGTTGAGTGTTATCTAGCACTAAAAATACCGAATGATTTTTCGTCTGTCCATAACAACCTGGGACCGATTTTATATGTTTAGAAAGGAGCGAATACAAAATAGTCAAAGGGATTAAAACTAAACTTGTACCAATTACATAGGATAAAAATGCATTACTTGCATATTAAAAGCATATTATGTACAACTAAAGCTGAAAGATTATAATACTGCAGAAATATGCAAACTAACAGTTATACAGATAGGCCAGTCTTTAAACAAAATTGAAATAAACTGAAAGCAAATTCGATGATTATCATACATCAAATGGAAAAATTTGGCAATTGCTACGAGACTACACTAATTCGCTGTGTTATTTCATTTTTTAGTATAAACATTTCACCCTGTGCATTATTAGAAACGAGAAGCAATTACAAACTCAGAGAAAAAGTGAACATCATCGCTAAACATGCCGGTATCACATAATATCAATAATTATTTACAACAAACAAATTTTTATTTGTCCACTATATTTCGTCTGAGATTTTTAAAAATATTCTGCGAGTTACTATAATATTGTTCTGAGAATAAGGCATTATAAAGTCTCAAAACCAACTACGAAAGTGGAATAGAAAGAGTGATACCTACACAAGTCGAGAAACTTTTTTCATCACAGTACACACTTGTCAAAAAATAACAAAAAGGCGGCGATGTCAAGGAACTGAAAGACTGAAAACATCGACATGCATGAAGAAAAATCTACGCAAAAAAAAAAACACCTGATTATTATTGAACATTACCCAAATCTAAGTCTACACAATCCAAAAATATTATTTATTTGTACAACTACCATTAATACTCTACCATCTAGAGTTATAGGTATCGTACTCTAGTCTAAATAAAATATGCCGAAACCCGTAAAAACTATTACCCTAACCAAAAAAAAGTATTTTTTACGAATTTCCACTCTACATTTAGGCAATTATACGTTATATACAATTAAAATGATTTATTAAATATCACAACTATATATGCCGCAACTCTATTGACGTCAATCCCTGTTGAAAAAACATTAAGACAGCTAGTGCACACTGTTAATTTTTTTTGTTTTTTTCTGAAACGTCAAACATAGAGTATACGTCCAAGAGGGTCATACATAATATTAACAGGCACATCAATTGTTTTTATTAACATACCAATAGAATTTTTGATTATTCTTAAACGTCACACAAAAACCCGCTTCAAAACACAAATGACTAGTAAATTTTTTAGTGAATTTTTGGAATTTGTGTCACGTGTAAGAAAATCACTTGACACGATTTTCAAGCTTAACGAAGCTTTCCCACACCTAAAGTAGCAAAACAAAGCGTATCAAATAAATGTGAATCTACCACATTCTGACAGAAAACAAAACCTTAATAAGCATTAAAATAATTATAATAAATATACAATAAAATGCACATAAACTTAGTAACAACTATGTCCTTTAAGTAATTCCATTAGGTCGGATCGAACGCCGCTTCGGCTCCATGGAATTAAATCAAAGTCCAAACAAATATATACAAACTAATAACAAAGTAAATAACTAATTGACTAACATGACAAAATGCTTCAACTATTCATTTTGATATGAAGGCAGTTTGAATGATTTTATGCAATAAATTAACAGAAATTGGACATTACCTCTGCATGAAAATACTATTCTAATAAGTTACTTGTTTTCTTTTTATTTTTTTAAATCCAAATGATTTTTTTGCTAGTATATACATATTGTATTAATCACTTCACGCATTGAATAAAAAATAATAAATTAAAGCTAGTGTATGCCCTTAAAACGAAGAAAAAAGTATACCTTTTATAATACTAGAAATTAAAAAAAATGAGTGAAAAACCTATAACGTGTAACCTCTACGAAATTGATTACAACTTAGCGTTAATATACCTGAATAATTGAGAATAAAAATTGCACAAAAACACTTAAAACAAAAAGATAACATTGCATATTAAAACCGCTACAACCTACCAAAAACACTAAAAAATGACAAATTAGAAACTATGCAATATTACCTCAAACCGATAACGTTTAAAACTAATGACAAATTTACGCTTTGAGGCTTATTCGGCAAACCACAAGCTTGCTGGTTGGTATTGATGACTTTTAGCGGGACTTAAGGGAGCGAATCCGTATGAAGCGGCCGCAACTTGCGACGGAAATTGTAGATGAGCTGGCAATGGATGACTGGTGTGGCTTGCTAGAACTGGACGAGCGCTTGAATGATGAGCTGGAGGAGGCGGCAGGGCGCGACTATAAAAAAAAAAATGTTCAGACATTGAAAATAAAAAAAAAATCCCTAACAATTCTACCAAAAATTAACTAGTTCTTTAGAGTACTCACCCTGTTGGTGCCACTTGATGGGTGGCTGAGAGATAAGCCGGTTGTGCTGTAGTTACATAGACAGGCCTACGATACAATTCGGTCTGATGGTAAAGAGGCTGACCAGCTGCGGCCAGTGGATGTTGCGGTGATAATCGGGGAGCACCAGCGAGTGGCTGGGGCGATAGGTGAGCATTGCTGTGTCTACAACCACACCCATGCATCAATATCATGCTGTTACAACAACAAAATCTGGAAATTTCCAATGTCTTATTATCAACTTTTCTTATAAAAAAAACGGTAACAAATTGGTCACTTATTTTTATGTAAAAACCGAAGATATCAAATTTATAAGCGTTTACGTTTGGAATCCAAAAGCAAATAAATCCAGATTTTGCGTCCACTTTTGTCAAAAATAACCCCTACTCGACCCCTTTACCCTTCTACTTTCCCTTCACACCCACCTATAACTCTGATGTATCGCTTGTGGCGGTCCCCAACTCTTCCCCGGCGCCAACAGATGTTGTTCCCTTGCTACGGCCAGATTATCTCTCGTCGTGTGCGCCGCAGGCGGCTGAATATACTCTTTATGAGTCTGAGTAGGTATATTATACTCCCTCAAACTCACAACAGGCACCGCCGAATGTCTCCTGTGTCCTCCGTGCGAACTCGGATTATGTGCGACAGGAGGCGCCCACGACACTCTCTTATCACTCGACGTGTACACCACCTGATGGTCTTGACTTGAACCGTTACCGTAATAACCTTGAATCGGTTCTTTACACGCCGAACTGCAATGTGATTGCTGCGACATGTTGTAATCGTTCGATCGGTGATATTCAATTCCCGGCTCTTGCTTGGTAGGCACGTTGAGCATACACTCGGATTGGGCTTTTGCTAAAAGACGTTTTTTCTGCGAGACAGAGGCGTAATTCGTGGTCGGAGTTGGCTCGTTTTTGATCAATTGCTGTTGGTAAGTCTGGGACTGACGATGCTAACATTAGGAGAAAAGAAAAAAATATAAAACACAAAAAATTTCAGCTCAATGTCAATAACTACTCCGTATTGAGCTGAAATCGACTATATTGGACATGACCTACCTTTGACGAACTTCGATCTTCATTATCACTATCTGGTACCGAAACACAACTGATGACATTTTTCCTATTGCTGACGTTACTATTGACCCGATTCGATTTTTTCCCCGACGTTCCTTCATCTTCACTATCACTTATAGTGATAACGGAAACGGCCGGTGACGGTGTATCGTTTATAGTGATCGTATGTTGTCTCCCATGCGTTTGCAAATGATGATCGTGAGAATTTACCTGCAATCAATCAAATAATCCTAAACAAAACATAACTATCCCACTTACTTGTTGCCACGAGTTCGGACTATGATTCCTTCGATTATAATTGATCTGTTCTGAAGGCGGTGTACTTTCCTTCACTCTCTTCTTCACCGGACTCAACTGCGTCTGTTCTTTCTTTTCATGTTGCGACCTATGATGCGTTGGCACCATTAAATGATGATGACTATGATGCGAATTCGACTGTTGCATATGATGATTCTTCGAACTCCTTTTACTCGTACCCCACGTGCTTCCCGTATGATCGACAATGGCCGAATTGTAAACTTCCGTCGCAACATCTACCGGTAAAACAGGCCGTTGTTCTTGCAAAATGGCCGACGAATCGACCAAAAGCGGCCTTCCCCATTCAGCCTCAGATAAAAGCGGTTGTTGTATAGCGGCATGTTGTGGTATTTGTTGCCATGATGGGACGATAGCCATTTGTTGCCGATTTGTTGGCCATGACGTCTGCACCGCATTGGTTAGCAGCATTTGTCTTCCAGTGGGCTCGACGACGCTCACTGGGACGTACTGTTGTTGCCCTGGTTGACTGAAAATCGGCTGTTGGATTTGTAAAGGTGGCTGTTGGACCACCGCCACGTGTTTGGCGGGCGAACCGCCCATGCCTTGGTAGCCGGGACATAAAATGCTTGATACGAGTTGGTGTTGGAAAGGATCGGCCCGGCTGCCAGTGGTGTATTGACGACCAACGGTACGGCCGTTATATATTTGGTACTAAAAATTATTAACTAAGAATTGAAAAGTGATGAGATTAACAAGTAACTTACAAGATTATCGTAACCGGACCTATCTCGGACTAGTCTCTGTACTTGATTGGTCAATTGGTTGTTTATTGTGAATGTGACGTTGCCGTTTGAACCCGGCACGAAATTGACGAGAGATGTCGCTTGTTGTGTTGGTTGATGATGCGACCCGGAAGCCGTGCTATTGTAATCGTTACGACGACAAACTTCCATCATTTGAACACTAGCCTTGACATTATTACAATGCGCATAATCAACCAAATGAGCCAATCGGACGAAAGGATGATTTAAAGCTTCGCCAGGAGTCGTTCGTCGCTCCTGAAACACAAAAAAAACATAATTATTTTACATGTCTACAGAAAGACTATCATTTTTTTCTAAAATTTAATCAAGTTCTTTGTCAAGTATACTCTTTATATGAACCAAATGAATATTGCTACCTGGTCCATCGTTAACATCCTCTTCAGCAGATCGATAAACTCCTTCCTGTCCACCTTCTCGGCCAACAATTGCCCCCCTTCCAGATCCGTGGGCACATTAACTTGTCCTATATCGTCCAAACAATTAAAAATATACTTTCTCGCCTCTTTCGACTTGATCCCCGTTTCAGCTTCGTGTTCTTCCGGGGTCTTCAATCTCCAAAATGGATACGTACTATCCATGTCGCGATAGAAAAATTTCGTCGTTTTCGACGCATTGTTCAACATATGTTCGGTCGGTAATCCCTGCGTTTGACTTATGTACCTTATTTGATCGTACTCAGACGATCCTGGATACAGCGGCCATCCTAGAAACAATTCGGCGACGACGCAACCGAGCGACCACATATCGATAGCTTCGCAAAACGGCAAACCGAGAATAATTTCGGGGGCACGATAATAACGTGATTGCAAATAAGTGTTGCACACAGCTTTGCTCACGTGACTTGCGCTGCCAAAATCGATGACCTTGACGCGGTATGGTTGACGGACCGGATCCACCAACATGATGTTCTCCGGCTTGAGATCGGCGTGGATCAAGCCGAGTTGCTAAAAAGTTTTAAACGATTGTTAACGACACTTATTTACTAATCGAAAAGATAGTTACCTTTAATTTTAGCAATGCGGTCAGCACCTGTTGTAAGATAGGCCGGATGTATTTCAGTGGCAGGGGGCTGAATTTATTCTGCTTGAGAAAATCGTAGAGGTTCTGTTCGAGCATTTCGAACACGAGACAAGTATGGTTCTTGTGTTGGAAGCACTCGTAAGCGCGGACGAAATTAAATTCGTCTGCATTTTCTTGACTCAAACGCGACAAAATGCTGACTTCGATTTGACCCTAAAGAAGAGAGGAATTTTCTATATTTCAAAAATTAAAAGAATGAAAAGTATTACCTGTCTGGCGTACGAAGGATGATTTTTGAGTATTTTAATCGCGACAATTTCATTGGTGCCCTTTTTCCAACACTTAACAACTTGTCCAAAAGTTCCCCGTCCAAGAAACTCAAGAACTTCATACTGATTTGCCATCGAATAGAGCACCTCATGTTGTACAAGTTGATAATCTCCATCCGCTCCACTGCCAGAACCTGATTCAAATACAGTCATGTAACCTGCTATTTTAAACAGAATTTTAATTTTACATACGGAGAATTTTGCCACATTTACATAAATAGAGACCTATCTTTGCAACACTTTAACGATACAAGGAACGCTAAATTTCAGACTGTGATTCATTAAGAAAAAAATCGGTATAAACGCTTTTAATTGAGCGCCTACTTAGTGGTAATAAAATCGATTTATTTAAACACAAAACGATATCTCGTTACCAGATTTTTAAAAACACAAAAGGTTAGTCATGAAAATGTTTGTTTTGGTTATTTTTGGTAAGATTAGAATTGTATGTAATCAAATAGTAATGTTATGTAAGGTATTCCTTTGTTTTATTCAAAGAATGACTTGAAAATATCTCAATGATATTTAATGCCCCTCGCTGATTAAATGTACCTACTATTAAAGGCTTAAAGTGCAACTAAGATATCATTAGTCGTTAAATAATACATCCTTATGTTGTTTTCGATTTTCTATATCCTAATATAATTTTAAAATTTGTCAAAAATATTTACATACTTGAATAACATTTGGAAGGCTCAGAAGCCAATCAGTCAAAGTCACAATTTTTCTCAAAATGATTTATGTGGTTCAAATGAAACTGTATCTTGCATTTGGGAATGCACGTAAGACACTACTTTAAGGCATTATCAATTCTCTTTCAACAACGATTTTGTTTTTCACTTTTGCAAGTTTTTTTTTATACAATTTTTTAATGTTTAACTACCTCATTTTTAACATGATTTGACTTACACTGATTGGCTTCTAAACCTTTCAAGTACTGAAAAACTACGTCCTCAAATAATAGTTTTTTTTTTATTTAATTTGACAAATCTGTGACCGTGATTATAATTAGTATTTAAGGTTAACTATAACCTAAAATTTGACACTTAATGTCAAATTATGCAAATAGAGCCTTGACATTTTTAATTTTTTTAAATTTGAAGCATGCAATATTGTTTTTTATTAATCTAGTTAAAAATGATTGACTGAACTACTAAAATCGAACCGAAAACTACTTCAAAGTAAAAAAAAAGTTAAAAAACAGTGTTGATTGTAGATGTTCAAATCAAGCATCTGTCAAATTTCTCTGCACCACAGCACATTTCAGCTCCTAGTTCATTACTTCATCCATCATTGAATGTTGAACGTAGTGTGACCTCAATTACTGTGGCGAGATCTCATTTTGGTATGAATTAAAAAAAAAGGGTTTCATTACATTTTTTCTTACCTTGCGGCTGGGGGTTCGCCCCCGGAGCCGCTGTAACCTTGCTGTGGGCCGTCGTGGTTGCTGAGCTGCTGCAATCTGTATTGGAAATAGCCTCGCCGCTATCACCATTACCTTCCTGCGACCAGGCTTTACGCTGCAATAGCATTTCGGAAACAAAATCAATCAATTAAAAAATCATGTGACACATTTTTGACGTTTTATTTTCTCTCATACAAAAACAATAATTTGTTTTGGCATAATTGGCAGCCTCTCACCTTTTGGCCGCAGCGCTGGTACGTATCTATAAGTTTGATAGTCGATGCGCGTACAAACGGTTGCTGACTACTCGGACTTGCATTGTTTAAGTCAGTTTGACTAAAATTAGTCACTGCATACACTGACTCTTGGGGCACGAAAGATGGATCGGCTGTTGGATTGCTGTTAGTACTGTTGCTGTTGATGGTATTGTCGACGTTGCTGTAGTGCTCTGATTTACGTTTTTTTGTTTGCACCGCCCCGCTGCTGCTGCTGCTGAACATGTCATGCATTCCCTAAAAATAAAAAAAAATCGATTACGATCTAGTACTTGAAGCTACAGCAATAGTAAATTGTAAAATTTGCTTTGCTTCAAATTGACATTTAAAATACTTAATTTTTTCTTCGAATTCCTACATTTAACAATAAAAAATTGTTTTAAATTGAAAATAGCCACATTTCGGAAACTATTTCTCTCGTTTCTTCTTGCGCCAGTCTATCCAAACATCGTATTTGCCAACGAGTTATTTCAAGCGCAAAATCAAAACAGTTAAAAATTTATTTTGAATCTGCCAGCAAAACATGGATTTTTTACAATTTGTTACAAACCTATCATTTACCTTTGTGACGCATGTTTTTAGTTTTCTCTAAATTATACAGATGACCAAACAAGGTTATAATTTTATACTAGTCGGCCGCGAAAACTTGGTCGACTTATCTTAATTTGACAAGTATGACAGTTTTTCATGGCCGTTTAAATACCTAGGCAAAATGATAAGTCAGAAGCTGTTTCCCCACCCCAAAATTATACTTTTGGGACAAACATTCCGTCACGTTGTGTACACTTTTGTTATTAATTTTAAATTAGTACATTAAATGGTTCTTTTTTTTTGAACATGAGTCAGGTGTTTTGACAATGGCACGTCCTTTTACGGTCGCAGTTGAAACGCGTCACGAAATAAATAAATATTTTAGCAAAAAGCAAAGTTGCCAATTGAATTGCCGACATGTGTTTTCGGCCATAAAATCCGTTCCAAACTTATATTTGGCATAATAAAAAATTCTGTTTACTTTTTCTTAATCTTTATAATAATCCATGTGACGCATTTTGAATCGATAGCATCTGCGAAGATAATTTTACAATTACGCATTAGTTCACGCTTTCTTCATTTTCAGTGTCGTGCGTCTAATTGGAACAGATTTCTAATATAAATTTAAAATACTACACGAAGCAAATAAGAGGAATTGCTCCAAAAAATCTTATCTTCATGCATTCAAGTTATAAACATCTCGACAACAACATAACAATACTTATTGATTTTATTATCACTCTATTATCGGAAAACGACTATAAAACAATACTAATCAACCCGTATAGACACAATTTGTCGTAAAAATGTTATTGACGGCGCTGTAATGTTTGTTATTCAATCAACAAATTCAATCTTGCGCTTTATGTCGTTTGGGAAAGTTGATATTTTCCAAATAGTTCATTTCATTATTTCGTATTTATTCTGACCAAGATATAGGACGAAGAAATTTCAACATGAGTGGCATGTATCAATTATTCAATTCTATTATCAACAATATCGATTTATTTCGAAAAGTTAATTGAAAACGTGCCCACAATAAATAAATTATGCACGTCCCTGAACAAATCCCAAATCTTTTCACAGTTGCTACAGTTGTACAGTGGCGTAGTTTGCAAAAGTAATTCTTTAGTGGGATTTTACACGACACAACAAACTCATTAATCATCAGATTTGAATATCTAACGGTTTATGGCAAAATGTTGTCATCGTCACTGACACGTCGATCCGTTTCCCTGCAAAAACTTTACGGACAGTAAAAAACTTCCAGTACATATTAATATGTACTGTCTGTCAAATGTGATACGACGGTTGGCGGTGAAAACAAGTATTCTTGACAGTTATTACAGAGCTAACTTTACCAAGAATTTAAGAAATAAAATGTTTAATTCAAATAAATTTTTACATAACAAAATCAACGAAACACATCGAGTTCGGCTTTTAAACTCGTTGTATAATCCCGCTTGAGCCCATTTTTACTATTTTGTGATGATAGGTATGTATATAAACGACGAAAAACATACAATAATTTGGAGGTTGCAATAAGAAAGTGGTTTCATTTGAGGTAGCGTCACGTTACACTCAAAGTTAATTAATTACGTTTCAGACTCGCTATTGCTTTTTTATCTTTTAATTAAGTTTCAAGTGTAACAAATTGGAATAAATGCAAGACGTCCGGAGCAAGAAAAATAATTTGCAACCAAATTTGAATTGCAATTGCCGCGTCGCCGATAAATGCAAATGAAAACAATTTTGTTTTTCGAGTCTTATGTCCGCATAATGAAATACCTAAATATTTTGTTATCTGTTGTTGATAGTAAATGTGTTATTAGGTAAAAAAATACGCAGTTAACACGTGTTAAAAGCTCATTATATTATCACATTCTGTAACGATTCGGGGCCACGTTTTCGTAAATAGAGTCGACTCTGCCACAAATTTATTGGCAATTTCTTCGCCTCGTCAAAAATAACGTTTCTATGTCAATTATTTCTCGAGTAAACAGACTCGTTATTCAACTTGGCAATTCCGCTGCATCTTACAACACATGTTTGGAAAAAAATGAACTTTTCTGATATTTCCCACGAGGAATGCAGCAACAAGTCTAGCTAAAAATAACGTAATAAGAAAACCGAGTCATGTTTCATCGGGGGCCTCCCATTATATCGAACTCAAATTCAATCTGAGCCAAGCAATTCCCGGTGGCTTACGCAACGCGCAATTGTTTTCGTGTCTCTCCATATGGGGGCTGCGGCAGCAAGCGCGTAATTGCCTCGGCGTCGCGACGCTTATCGCCGCCGTCATATTAAATATAACCGTGGAGGTGGTTTTTACCTCTCTATCCTCCTTTCTTGGGCAAACAGCTCAACTTTCATACTGACATACGGACAAAGAGGTCCTTCAAAACCCAGCCATCTTGGAATCGCCGCCTCGATTCAGTTTGTTTACAAACGGATTTTTCGTGTCCTCACCACCGCCCGGCACATATCACACCCTCGCACGCAAACACAGGCATCTTCTGCACGATTAGAAACCAAATTTGATCACTTGGGCCGCACTATTACACCATATTTCGCGTTTTTCTTCATGCTGTGCCACACACGTCCACTTTCAAGAATCTACGTATTCGTTCTAGTTAGCACATCGTCCGCCAGAGGCGCTGACTCAACACAAATTGGGGACGAAAATCGAATGGTTAAATGGGTTGGCGGTCATTTTTTGCGTATTTCTACGTACAGTTCCACGAATTTGAACGAAATTAACTCACAGCGAAAGCCAACTCGCCTTTGAAGAATTTTGCAACCGATCTGCAACTGTTGCAACACCAAAAACAATCGAGCAACAAGTGCCGTCCCGCCCCTGTCACTTTGATCAAATTTTAACCAAATTAGGATACGAAAGAAGCAAACTTTCAGTTCGAAATTCGGTGGTTTTTTATTAAGTGCGTAGTTACGGGACGAAAAATGCACTTTCACAATTCACAGTAACGCGAAGACGAGTAAAAATTGTGTCAGCGCGGAGCTGCAGCTCCAGAAAATTGTAATTTTAGAGCGACGTGACGAATGGAATACGCCTGCTCGGTGGATAACCCACCTTACACCGCGTCATCGGGGTTGTCTACACTGACGTCATGATGACTCATAAAGAGGAATTCCCTGTGTGTAAAATCGAAAATATAACTCCTTATCTTCAAAACATTACACAGTACAAGATTGCTCAATATTCGCCATGAAAACGAGCAAAATGAATAATTGTCTTATCTTTTTTAACAAGGGTCCAATAATGTTCAAATAGCTGAAATAATAAGTTTGATTAAACTGCAAATATTACTAAAATCAAGTACAAATATTAAACCAATTTATTTACTTTATTATAATATTTTTTCTTGTTATTTTATTAAATAAAATTGATTTCTATCTATTTAGTATTCTTTAATTTATTGAGCGCTCCGGGTACCCGATTTGTTAAAAAAATATCTGTCACTTCCAGATTTTGCCTTAAAACATTTATTCAAACATTTAAAACAAAACAGTAATATGTAACCGTATAACAGTAATATTTAACCAAGATTAAGTACAGAATGATTCAACAAAAATATTGTGACCATTTCTTAAATAACTTATAAACCTTTGACTGTTAGATATTTCATTTTGTCTACGTCTTCGATTGTTAGAATTATTGCAGTTTTATTTATAATGAAAAATCTAGAATTCTAGACATCCTTACTGATTCACACTATAGGTATTATAAAAAGCCTAACAAGTTTTCGTCTTATTGTAAAATGTTGTTGAATATTCTCCCTTTAGAAAATGACTCCATTTAGAAAACTATATTATAGTTACATTGAGTCGTTTTGTAAAAGACTGAAAAACATTATTTTAGCAGATATCAATTTCTATTGTAGTTAGATAATCTAATCTATTAAAAAAAACAAATTCAAATGTTAAACGTTTTTAATGAATATAAAAAGAAACATATTTCAAGAAAACAAATAAATTTTTCTAATTTGCGTTTATAATACGCTTATTAACGTCTCCAGTAGGAATCGTTTATAGCTAAAAGCACACTGTACTTTAATGAATTTAGGGTTATTTAGTTTTTGGATGCCGCTTCTGACTTGTCAGGTAACAAATTTTACGTTGTTGCTTCGGCAATTTCGCGAATTTCGGGCGGAGTGCAAACTAAATTTTGTTTCTCATATTTTATTTATTATTATGTTGTAACACTAATAACTAATAATTTGTAAATTTGATTTTTAATGACAGACGGCAGAAATGACTCAAAAAAACAGGTGGGCGCCTACGGCTCGTTTTCTAACTTGGGATTCGTGCGCCAAATCAAATCATAAAACTTGTTCTTTAATATACTATTTCCTAACAATTTCATCGTACAGTTGCGCAATTAAAATTTCGGGCAGTATTGTCATTTTCATAATGTAAACTCTAAAACAACCTTTACACATTAATAACCTCATTTTTTACACTTGTCATGTTTATGTCATTTTGACTTAAAAAATAGCGTCACTGACAGACAAGTTTAATTGTCAAATGTCATGATGACAGAAAAAGGTAGTTAACAGTGAAATTTTTGAAGTGACAGAAAAATACTGCCCGAAATTTTAATTCCGTAGCTGTACATCACAAATATTTTTGAGTAAAAATAGGTCTTTCGGTTTTTGTAATTTTTATCCTGACAACTAGAGAAAAAATGACAACAAATCAAAGTAATTTATTGAATTTATACATATAAAAACATATACCTACTGCTGACATTATTGTTTCAGAAATTGACGTTAAAAAATTTCAACTAAAACTTTCAAATTTTAGTTTCAAACATCAATCATAATGACAATCATACGTGGCTTACATTGACATTTTTTGAACTGACATAAATTTGATGTCCAAAATTGCGTGTTCACAATTGTGGACGCGAGGTCATCATGTGCGATGTTTTATTAGAATTCAAAAGGCGACTGGATCAAATTTTGTCTTTTAATATTAAGACATATGTATATAAACGTCACAACAATCCCTAAATCCATTTAAATGCAAATTTTTGTTTAAAACGGATTAAAAGATTAAATCACAAAAAATAGTATAAAAAACTCGTATCATATAAGACTTTGAAGCACTCATTTATTAAAATAGCTCTTGGCTACGCCACTCGTTTTTTAAACTTAAATTCGTGCTTCAAGATTGGTCTTATGAAACTTGTTTTTTTAATATACGATCAAAGTACTCGTAGCATTCGGATTTTTTAACATCATTCGACTTCCCGAAATATTTTACATGCGTATAGTTTAAAATTTTTCGATTTCAGCTGTAGTTTCACCGGAAACCACTTATGTGAATCTTAGTTTTTATGTTTAATATTGTTCCGTCGTAAACAAAACCGGTGTTGTGTCCCCGCAGGGTGGCATCCACTCTTCAGATAAGATTCAAACCTCCATAAAGGCTTGTTTTACGTCACGTCAATCACGTGTCAGTGAAAAATGTCTGTTTTTAAGTATCCTACAATCCCGCAGCTGACAAATCTGCACTAATTAAACGACATAATAGTCGATATATTGAAAAGCAACCCTTCCGGATCTTAATTACGGTAGTTTATGTCGATTTTGAAAAGCCGATCGCGTGCCCTACGCTTGATTATTGTTGTATTCAAACCACTAATTAGAGTGGAAATTGATATGCGGAAAGGGCACGTGGCCACAACAGGAAATAGAAATCAAATCGAAATGATATTTGGGGTTGAAAAATAAATAAAAATTGATACTTACCGTTAGGAAATTGATGAAATCGTCGATGATAGAGAGACACATAGGTGGTCAAGTAGAGAGTAAGTCTAAACGAGACTAATTAGCAAAGTATTTGCCAAAGTTGTGGCGCCTTGTACATTTTGGGATTAGAGAAATCTGATAAGGGAAGGGTAAAAATACTCCGAGATGAGAAGAAAATATTCAGATAACATGAATGTGATCTTAAATTAGTCACAGAAAAATTATTATACCTATATTGAATAATCAACAAGAAAATTCTACACTAAAATTCTAAAATATGTTCGTCAATTGCAATTTAATTGTCCAAGCCTGAGACCGGCACCAGAAGTCGTAAAATATTCTGCGAATCGGTGCCTCGCATTGTGTCTAAATGGCTGGAGACCGCCCTAAAGCCATCGATGACAGTAAAAACTCAAGACGTAACGGATAGTCTCCAGACAGGGGTGCTCTTGTGATCGGTCCAGACGTTCATCTAGTCGAAGTGAAGCAAGTGCTATGGCAGTGTTAAAAATACTTTTCTTATTTTTACTTCACATTTGGGCCCCGAATTGTAAGTAAATTCATTTACTATTACTTTGTAATTAGTAATATTGGCAATAGCACTTAATTGCAAAAATTTAAAATATTTTTCGTGTTTTAGCGGTTTTTTGCGAACCGACTGAAGATTATTATTACTCAATGGAGGATGAGCCAAATTCGGTTAATTTTACACACGTGCGTGCGAAAAAATTGAGCGGGAATGTCCAGTTAACGTCACTTGAAGTGTTGCCTACAGATATGTTAAACAATGGCTTTGAGAAAGTCGAAGAGACCACCAAAGTAATATCCAGTGTAAATAAACACATTGGAACAATCATCGAAAATCAACAACAAGACTCTTTATTGTCCGAAGTTAGGACAAAAGTTCCGACAGATGGTCTGGAACCGCTCGGTTTGATGGATGTTTTTAACGACACATCTGGCACTTTGCCCGATCAGACCACTACAGAAAAACTAATCACTGACACTCCATTAAATTCAGAGATCACTGAAAAATTTCAAGATTGGGTTTCAGGTGATTTGAGTTTAATTTCGACGGTTAGAAATGAAAGAATTAATTCAGTGTATGATGAGAGAGTTTCTTCGAAAAGTAATAAATCTTTTAGTGGAGAGATTTCAGGGAGTGAAGAAATTGAGAATTTGTCGACGTTTTTGGTTGTTGATGAAGAATTGCTAAATGAACATAATGAAGAGGAGGATGTTGAGGGGGAGTTTGAAGACATTAGGAATATTTTGAGAGACTATGAAGAAAGTGAAGAAAAGTCGACGACTAAAGAACATGACAAAACCGAAATTGTGACCCAAAAAATTACTACAGAAAGTATAACAAATTTCACAGAAGAAAAAGAAGACAAGGCAGTTTCAACATCTTCAACTTTTACAACTGATGAAAGTTTCACATCACAAAACAATGAAGCTTTGAAACAAACTACTGTTTGGACCAAATTCGACGGATATAAAGAAACAACTACAGAATTTTCCACACGTTTATGGGAAGACATTTTTACAGAAAAACATAATGAAATGACACAAAAAGAAGAAAATTCTGCAACTGCCACATACAGCACAACTGATGATTTTTTTAACACAGTAACAGAGAATTTAGAAAATAGCATTACAACTACTGTAAATAAATTTGAAGAAAATAATGCGTCAACGTATCAAGAAACTACAACACAATTTGAAAAAAATGAAGATTTTTATACTATTAATATGGAAAACGAAGAAAGAGCGATTGACAATTTTCTAAACACAAAAACTGAAAATATTACATCGGTTTTAAAGAAATTTGAACAAAATGAAGCATGGACATTATCAACAGAATTTTCTACAACAGTTTATGAAAACGGTAGAGAAAAAATTTTTGACATTAATAGAAGAAATGAAGAAGGTATGTCCACTGAAATTACTACAGAAGTCGTAGAAAATATTACGTCAGTTTTAAAGAACCTTGAAGAAACTGAAGTATCAACAGCTATGACAGAATTTACCACAACAATTTTTACAAAAAATTTCAGGGATTTTAACATTAACAGAACCGTTGAAATTTTACCAGAAAAACAAATTCAAATTGTGCAAAATGAAAAGAGGAATTTGGCAACTACACTTCTTTATGAAAAAGAATTAGAAGAAATTATTGATGACATTACAACGACATTGAATAAATATGAAGAAAATTACGTTTTAAGTTATGAAAAAACAACAACACAATTTGCAACTACCGATTTTGAAGAACGAAAAATCTTTGACACTACCACACAAAATGAAAAAATCCTTGCCACTGAAATAGTAACCATTTCTAACGAAAAACAAATTTTAGCGACAGATAAAACTAAAGATCTGCTTGTAATTAAGGAAAAGGAAGAAACCCATATTTTGACAGAAGATTGTAAAGAAAACTTAGAAAAAGAATTTAAAAATAAAGATGAAATAACTAAGGATGAAAATCTTGAGGGAAGTCCAAATTTAGAAAAAACTACGACGGAAATACAAGTAGTAAGCAACACCATAGAAGAAGAAATAAGCAATAACTCAAGTGAAGAAACTGTAGAATTTTTATCAACAACAAATTTTCCCAAAGAAATGCTTTCTACAACTACTGAAGAAACAAAAAATGAAGACTTCAACCCAGTTTCCACTTCCACCAATACGACTGAAAATGAAGTAAAGGAAGATTTCTTGAATTATGTAACATCAGGAATTTCAAGATTTTTCGGATCTTTTTTCGACTCAACAGAAAAACAATTTGAGAAAAAAATTTTAGCTAATGAAGACACTAAAAACACGTTAGAAGGTCAAAATAACGATATTTTCTATGAAGATGAAACTAAAAAAATTGTAGAAGAAGATGATAAACTGAGTCACTTCAATCAATTAGAAGTTGAAGAAACATACAGAAATTTGAATAAGTTTGAAGAAGAAAGTACAATAAAAACTGCAATTACGACAAACTTAAATTTAGATGATTTTAAATCCTACTCAAAATCACCTCAATTGCCCTCAAAGGCCGACAGTTTGATCAATTCTTTAGAAGCACCTCAGCTGAAGCTAAAAATCAACGATCAAGAAACGAAAGTTATTATCAAAATCATCACAAACGTAAGCAACTTTCTGATTTATTTATAGATTTATTCTCAAATCGTGCTTTCAGGACTCGAGCTTGTACATCCCTTCAAGTGCCCTTGTCACCTTTCCATCCCCAAACACCGTCAACATCACATGGAAATCTTCATCATTTCAAAACAATTCTCTACAATTCGTTATGGGAAACTCTCTCCGACTCGTTATTGTCAAAGGTAAATTTCACACAGCTGCCGATCTAAATATAAATCGATATTTTTAGGTACCGAAATGTACATCCACCAGACACTTATCCACGAAAATAAATTTGATGTTGACACAAACTTAATCACTCTAGATGACGACGTCCAGATTTATTTCTCTAATTGGGATATATTGAGATTAGATCACAGAATCATGACCGAATTTTCGGAAATGACAAGTGCGAAGACAAATTTGGCGGCTAAGATTACAGGAGGGTGTGTGGGGGCGTTTTTGGTAATCGCAGGTGTAGTCTATTTTGTTATTAAGAAGTTGAGAGGAAAGAAACTGAACTTTAAACCCAACAATGAAGAGGCATAGTTCATTGTTATGCAAACCAAAGAATTTTATCTTTGTAGACAAATATTTACTTAAATCACTTTATTGTATATAAAAACTTCTTTTTTATTAATACATTTTTATAATTACTTTCTATTCTCATTTAATAACCGATACATCTGCCATTATTCAATGAAATTACACCTTTTAAAAGTGTTGAGCACGAACAGCTGAAATTCTGTAACCCATCGGTCTAATTTAATAATACTCCCAACTCGTGCCATACAGTTTCATAATTATCACCTGCCTGAAATGATGATCCAGATGTAACAAATATCATAATATCCCAAAAACATCTGTTTTATTTTTTATCCAAAACTCAAATTATTGCGATGATGATGGGTCGATAAGCGAGTCATGTCACCCCCGACATGTAAAAAGGGTAAAAATTAATTAGTCATTTGCAAAAATTAGAATTAACTCCATCACACAATTCTGAAAGCAATTTTGCATTAAAACAGAATAGGGTATAAAACTTCTACCTTCAACAAATAATAAGAAAAAATGCAAACTCGTCCATTTTGACCGTTGGAAATGTGAAATAAAATTTTTACACCGGACACATTAAAAATTAGTCGAATGTAACGATTAAAAGTATTGGGGCGCACCCACTATATGGGAAAAAGCTCTAAATTCGCCCTTCATTTCCTCTTTAACACGTTTCAGTCAGTACCTACCTGTTTTAGTCTCAAATATGGTAAATTTATTACATAATGTAATGAATGCCATAAATTTTATGGGCGTGGGAAATGGGGGGCAAAGCGCCTCTAAAGCCACCCTTCAGTTTCAATCTTTACGAAAATCCAACTTTGTTTAGTTTCTAACTTCGTAAAATAAAAAATAAGTTCAAAAATAATGTTTTAGTGTATTACTGGTGGCCTATGTGCGCATTTAAAATTCATTAAAAATCTTAGAAGATAGATTTATTTGCCACTGGTGCTTTGTAATCCAATTTTTAATCAATTTTGAGTGTTTTGAAGTTAAAAAATTAAATAATAAAGACTTAGATTAGCTCTGTTGATTCTTCAGGTGGACGAACTGTTGACAATGTTGACATTGCACATATCCTCCTGTAATCACTTGTAATTACACGTCTGTGTAATTTTTAATGGGAATAGTTGATTCCTCCCGTGGTGTACGTTATGGTGGATGATTGTAACCGTCATCGGCAGGGAAGTGTGACGACACTCGCCCGTACTTTACCGGAATATAACATCCTGTCTCTCATTAGAGGCCACTATAGGATCAAAAATTCAAATCCTTCAACGGCCACTAAAATAATTAAATCTAAAAAAATGCTCACAACCCATAATTTGGCGAGTAACGAATACAATAGGCACGGATTTAAACCGAGATTTTTTCTACCAGTGACGGTTACAACTCCCACGCTGAAACTCTAACCCCTTTGAAGTTCTCCTCTGGTTGAATCTTGTCTCAAAATAATTAATTTGCCAGTGAGTGGGTTAAAATCGACTTTAAACGTTTTTGACGCTGTTTTTCTACGCCACGATGCACACAATTTTCCTCAAGTCGCGCTTGCTTGACCGCGACAGGTGCTAGGACAAGATATTTAAGGATTTGATTTGATTTCGAAAGAAAAAATGTTGTTGGAACTATAGCTAATTTGCGTAATTGCCGGCCCGAGCTGAGTAATTATATTGAGAGATGAGGTCGGAAACTGTCCACAAAGTGTTGTTAGGCTTTGTTGGGTGATGATATGAAACTTAAACAGAGACTTCCGACAAAGTAATTGTTAGGAAACATCCAATTCCACGTGGAGCTGCCGCGATCTGTGTTTAATTAGACGGTGCTTCTTCCGCCGTTTTATCTTTTAAGATTGTGTACACACATAGTAAAAAAAAGTCTTTTTTAAAGAATTTAGAACGTAGGGTTTGTGCGTTATAACATTTTTAATGTCAAAGTTTACGATTATTCGAATAATAAGAGTGCAACAATTTAACAATGGCTTAGATAAATAGATAAAAATGTTGGGATTTTTTGTGTTTTGTGCAAACAAACAAGTATGCATTATGATTATGAAATAATGTTTCTATCTTAACGACTGTTTATTTTTCTGTGGGTTTACTCATTTCATTTCTCCTGAACACAAATAATGGTAAATGATTTTTTTTCTCACAAACCTTACCTACTAAAAATCTTTTTTGAAAATTAAATCACAATGTTGCAACTGGAATTTTGAAAATTATTTGTTTTTTGAAATATTGTGTCGCCCAACTTTACAAGCCAAAGTGATAAAATAAAAATAAAAAAAGAAACAACAAAAATCAGTAAACTTCAAGAAAATGTTTTCATTAAATAATATTTAAAACAAAGTTTTCACCATAATTTTTACATAAATAAATTATAAGAAAGAAAAAATTTAATCAACTTTATAGTGAGTGTATTTAGAACTTGTCGTAATAAATAACTCCAAGGCTCTTTGCATGATACTTGTATACCTATCTATATTTGCTATCTAAGATAATTGGTAATGAGTTTGCTGTAGAGACAGGAAATGAATGCAAAAATAAATTTTTATGGTGTTCTCTCTGATAACGATAACGCATACTATGACAAAATATTATTATTAAACATCATCAGCAAAAATTTCTCCACACACCTGTGAATAAAAAGTTTTTTTCTTATTTTAGAATCGCGTTTCGAAGGGCGACAGAAATAAAATAAGAAATTGCCTTTTTTCGGTAATAAATGAGTTATCAACACAGATTTATTTCATTGGCCTAAACCTTTCAATTTTTTATTCCATTTCTCCGCAAATCCTCGCAAGGATTTCAGCCGTCCTATTCCCATGGATAATTCCCCGCCTCGACCACAATCTCAAATCCCATTGGTCAAAATCCATGAGCTTGGAATAGTGGGGCAGCGAAAAGAAGTTGAACACGCCGCACCAAAACCATTCAACCAGTGTCTAGTGGTAGTTGTAGTGCAGTTTGGTTGAAGAAAATGGAAATTATTCACGTTTCCAACCCCGAAAATCGATTTCTCAAGCCAAAAAAGCCCCTCCAAGTCAACAATAGTGAAGTAAATGCGATCAAAAAATGCCTTTTTGGAGTCCCGGATGCCCAAGATGTTGAAGATTTGCTTCAAGAGCAGATTAGGGAGGATTGGGAGAGGATCAAGGATCGGTTTGGGATTGATATGGAGGATATCGAGAATATGGAAAGTGCCAGACGGGAGGCTTACACTCCCAAGAAGAGGAAATTGGAGACGTGTAGGAGAAACGCACGAAGGAGAAGGCTTTTCCAGCCTTACAATGACAAAAAAATCACGGGTGAGTCAGTGAACGGTTAGTGTTTCCGGTTCCGGGTTACTTGAAACCGTTAAAAAATCGTCTGAATTTGAGACCAAGAAATGTTATTTGATAGGTATCTCGGCCGCAGTTACGGTCTGGTGAAAATCGTGTGATCTTGGCTCTTTTTGGTTTGAAAATTTTTCAATTTTAAGAGGAGACAGACACTGTAATCAGTATGTCTCCAGTCTGTCTAGTCGCTTTCACTCACAAATAATGCAACAATTTAAAATCCATTAGATACCTCTTAAAGTGTTGTTCGCTATTATGGAGGATTCAATTAGACGAAACGATGGACGTAATGAGATTTTTATGAAAATAAATTCTCATTTAAAGAAGTTTAAGACGTTTCAATGTGAGGAAAAAATCCAATTAGTGTTGAAATTAATTTCGCGGGGGATCATCCAAGCGAGAAAGTTTAATTGGGCGATTGTAGCTTACACCGGGTGCGTCAAGTAAGACGTCAAGGCACATTTAAGAGTAGGTAAACAGAAATTGATTAGCAAACTAAAAAAAAAATAACACATTTTAATTTTTTGTATGTGAGTTTAATATTTTAATACCTTTTGTCAATTTCGAAGGATTGGCAACGAAACCTTCTCGCTTGACTCACCCTGTGCTCTGGAATGAAGATTGCCGAGCTAGAATTGGCGCTAAATTTCGAATAAAAGCGCATCTGCCCAAATTTACGGCCGCACCTGAACCCTATTATCCTCCTGTGATTCATTCATTCTCTACCTGAGCCTTCGGCGCCCGTTTTTTGGCGCCAATTCGAAGGCCGTGCAAGTGCAGGCTGTAACCTGTAGTATAGTCGCGCGGTTTCGTTCTAAATTCGGATGTTGCATCCAATTAGACGCCATGTGGTAAAATCGGAGAGCATCTGCAACTGCACGTCTAAAAATATTCGGCCATATGGCCCTCGAAAACTCCGCCAGGTGCATGGATGCAAAATTCGTGCGGCGTGAAGGTTACGGACCAAATCCGATTTACACGGCTCTAATAAGTGGCTTTCCTTTGTTGCAGATTTCTTCCAAGTGAGAAAGGCCACAGTGCCGCCGCATGAAAAGAAGGACTGAAGTTGAGACTGAATTGGAGTTTATTTATGAAGACTTATTTACGCTGTGTATATAGAAAAGTGTGATTTTTTTATTTACTTATTTACCATGCAGCATTTAACCCAAAGGTCTGTAGGTAGATGATTCTGTAGAGAAAACTAATGCCGATTTTAGTCTAGTCCTGCAAAATTGGGTCGACTTGTAAAGTTTCTTATCTTATGTAATCATTATGTATATAGAAATAAAATTATTTATTATGCATTTTTTATTGTTTTATTAGACAACATTTTATGCATCTCCCAAAAAAAAACAAAAAAAGCTTTTCATATTTCCGAAAAACTTTCAAACTTGTGTCTTTTGGGCACAAAACAAAACACTATGAACACTATTTCGTAACTTTTGTCCGCAAGAGGCAACACAAACAACACAGTTTTAGCACTCGGTGTGGTGAAAAATTACAGTTCCTATGCAAAATTCTCCAGGAGATAAGAGCCCGCCAATGTTTTACGTATAGGATATTAGAACACAATTACAGGCTGTCCGGAAAATCGCGCACCTCCGTGACACTGTATCATCGGGCGATGTCCTAGACAACAGCCAATGTTAAAAAAAACTATCTATAAAAATTTAGAAGTTATGAGAGTTACATTTTACACTTTGCCTCTTTTTATTTCTATTTCTGGAAAAATAATATTCCAAGTTTTTTTGCTTAGAAGAAGAAACAATTAAGCTGTATCTTAAATTGTAACTCTGTTTAGAGTTATTTGTGGTTTTTATTGGCAAAATTTTTGTACTTTTACTAAATAATTATAAAAAGAACATATACAAGATTATCAGCATCATTAAATAGACATAAAAATATGTCAAACGTCAAAAAACATGTCAAAATTTTTTGACAGATAGAATTTTTCAGTACTCTGGAGGACAACCCAATTACTCCTTTTCAAGAAAGTGTGCGAATTTTGAGATACCTGTATAATGCTAGCACCAACATATTTTCATGTTTGTTCCGGGCGTCCGTAAGGCCCGTCGCTTTAGAAAATTCGTCCAAGAAATCTTGCAATAACTACGAGACAGCTTTTCCGGTACAAATTCTAATAAATTAAGTCGCGGTTTGCTGATGTGATCATTGAATCACTCCTCAAACCTGCTGAAACTTGTTTAAAGAGTTTGACCTCAACCGCCAATGTTTATAAACAACTCAGTGCTTTTTACTAACAAAACGGCCCAAAACTGCAACTGCGATGTTTTTCTCGGTTTGTAGATCCCGATTTGGGCATAGCAACGTTGGAATAGACGCGTGGGCCGTCTGTGGGATTTAGTTTCAAATATAACGTTCGAAAAATTACGAGGAAGGAGTTATAAAATCCTACGTTTGTTTTAAATTCACCCAACCTAATTTAGCCTTGATCTTAATTAATGAAACGTTATGGTCATCCTACGGAATTTGCTACTTGTAATAATCATTAAACATGTGCATAAACGCACGTGTAGGTTTTGTTTTACTATGCCAACTATTTCAGATATTTATTCAAACGATTTCCTTTCTTTATCAATGAGGTTTATGGCTCTCAAGTTTAATCAAGCTTTCACTTTCGAATGAAAGGCCGTGATTGCAAACGGTTACAACACACAAAAATACCAAAGCTTGGGGAGTTTTATTTTTCGAAAGCAATAAGCATGTTACAAGATAAGAGCAAACTTATCAATTCTATTTACATACGAAATAATTAATTACATCCTGTTTATTAAAAAGTAATCCAAAAGAGTGCATCAGTATTAATTTATTCAAATGCAACTTCCTTTCAAACCGATTTGCAACATAATATAGACACAACACAATGTATGAGCTCGTGCCTTCCATAAACATAACGTCCTCACATAATGTAAATATTGACACATCAAATAGTTTTGTCTTATCTCACCACAAACTATTGTATTATACCGAACGTCAAATGAAAAAATCTACTAATAAGTCATTTAACCGATTTTAGTTTCTTTTAGCCGTGACTCATGATGACCAACACCTGAACAATGCTCGTGCTACAAGTCCGAGCAAGTCTATCACATGTTTTTATCAAATCCGGCACGGGCCAACTTCGATGCGGGTCTTTTTATGCAAATTTTCATCCATCTGTCACGGCTTCGGTCTATTTTTTGAAGTGTTTCGAGGCGGGACGCTATTTAAAGGCCCGTTTTAGCCCCTTTGCATGCGGGCTGCACCTGCCGAATTTGGATCATGTTAACGCGCCGATGAAAAGTAACATGGGTCTTGGATTACTTGGGTAATGGGTGGTGGGCGGCTCTTGGGTTACCGTAACGGTCCATTGTGCCAATTTTTTATGCAAATTCGACGCTGATATAGACATTATTATATGTCAACAATAATTGGCAACACAAAGAAAAACCTGTACCCACAAGAAACCAAAAATTTACGTATTTTTTTCAATAAATTTTTATCCTTCAAATTGAGGAAAAACAGAAAGTCTCTTTTGCTCTTTTCTATTTAGAAATTCTAACTATTCTTACCACTACATTTTTGAATTGAATTTCCACCACCACAGTTCAAGTCCTCATCAGAGATACCAGAAATGTTTGTCCATTATTCTTTTGTGTCTATAACAGCCAAGGTAACAACAATGCCATTCGTTTCATGCTATTTACAATACAGAATGATTTTATAGTCAGTTAAGAATTTATTTCTCAGATTTAAAAAGCAAACAAAGTGTGAGAATGCAAAAGATAATCTAGCATATCAAAATGAGATTATCGACGGTCTTCCAAGTGTAATAAAATCGCAAAATAAACAAATCGATTTATTGTATCGACTAGTAAAGAGGCAATAAATCACCAAATCAATAAGACTTAAACACAGTTGTTAGAAAAATTACTGAAATTGTTAAAAATTACCAAGAAGGTTCGATTCTTTTATAATTTTTTTATTATACCTGCATCATAATCCTAAATTAAAACACGCTGCATCGTGCGTAATTTGGCCTTTATAGCACGCTGAAATTTTAAAGTTGTCTAGGTAACAAGAAATAGTGAAATGTATGGACCAATTACAACTTGAAAAAATGTGCTTAATAACGTAAACTAGTAACCGTCTCTACGAAAACGATTCACAAACAACCTTTCATAATTTTATTGTGTAAATTCACATATTTTCAATGCTCATAAAAGATCGTAAATGGGAAGGTATAATAAAAAATAGCGTATAACACTCGTTTATAAGCGCCTTTAAAACACTTACGGCGTTAAAAGCACTCCGCTGACGCGTCGTGCTCTCAAACCCGTCGTGCGTGTTTTAAAGGCTTGCTTATAAACTAGTATTATAATATACTATTAATTCCCTAAAAATGACATTTATTATTATTTTTTCTCAAAGTAATTTTGTAATAAATGTAGGTGTAGCCTCATTCTACGATCAAAGAGGCCTGAAATTGTGTAATTAAGTTGTCAACACTGAAGAATGGAGAGAAAGAGGATGAAGAACATATATATTTTTTATATTTATATTTTTTTATCTTTATTTCATTCAGTATTGGTATTGCAAACTACTTAATTTTAAATATGTAGGCCACTCTGATCAAAAACATAACTGGAGGTGTAGTACAATACATTCAGTAATCAAAGTGGCCAAAGTGAGCTGTGACTTTAAAATTAAGTTAAGTGTTTTATTTTATTTCTGTAACACACCATCAAAACAAAATAACTAATACTCCTCCGAAACAGTAGAAAAAAAATGTGCAATTCTACATAAAGAAAAACTGAGTTGATTTTACTGATACTCTCTGATGCTCTAATACTATAAATTCCACCGCATTTTCTAATGTACCACTCCGACAAAAATAATAGTCGCACCTTGTTGACAAAGCCCTACAAAGGCCGGAAATAGCTTTACACCATCTCAGGCGTTCGAAATTCGTCGGTTTCCTCCCGCGTGAGGTAAACCAAGGTGTGTAACACACACGGATCCGACTGCATCCCAGCCATATGTAATTTCCTCCACCGGAAATGCGCCCACACATGGGCCATCCGATCTCCCCTACCGGATCTTGTTACTTTTATGGTTTCCATCATTTTTTCTCCATTAACCTTGTTAAGGTGAACGCGTTCTTAAGAGCCACCAGATGGCGGATTTAACTACACCACCGTGAAATATGGAAAAAACCGCTGTCATGCATCAATTGCTACAATCACAATGGCTGTGGATTCGCAAAGGGCACCTGTAATGCACTCACGTACAACGAACTTCCGGCCCAGATCACGAAAAAACTAAGAAAAGAGCTTGAAGAACGAGAGGTGGCGCGACTATACTCACTGCTCTTCCTCATTGTCTGTGGTCAATATAAAAAAACGATTAATTCCTAGGTTTTTTCCTATATGGGCGTAAACCGTATGTCACTCGATAGAAATTGGATAGTTAAAATAAAACTCGGGCAAATTAATAACCGTTTAGGGAAAAATGACACCCTTTCGTGTGACATCTGTTATACGGGGGTCACTCCATGCGTGAAATACAATGATCCACGTCGATGAAAATTGAAAAATAAATCGTCTTACATCATAACCTACTTGACCCGAGCAATTATTTAATAGAGCTATGAACTTTGTGGGTCGTTTGCGATTTCGAAGTACCACCCAGGATGCTTGCTAGCATATCAAAAGTTTAAGAGGTACTCTATGAATAAATGTAGCAGTTATTATGAAAGACTAAAGGGTTCTTTGACAGATGTTTAGGAAAGCACGTGATTCGAAATACGAATTAGAATCAGATAACACTGACGTGTGCTTTGTATTTGTCCAGGTACCCGCACCAAAAGCTTTAAATGAACGTTTTATGATACTGTCGACTGTTTTTCGAACTGATATTATCGAAAACACGTGTGCTAACGATGTGCGGTTTTACAGGGGGATAAGAAATATTCTGATAGAGTGTCGACATTTTGCAACAGACGTTACGGAGATATTACCCAAAATGCAGTTGCAAAGCACACTTTAGCAACAAAATTACATATTAAGTCATCTACTGATTACACATAATGTTCCGCTTGTGTATAATAACATTTATACATGGTGTTTACGGTCTTAAAGTTGAAAATTAACCTGGTAATAGAAGGGTACAGAAATAGTGTAACCGAGAAACAAAACTCACAAAATTGTTAATATAAATAATGTTATTTAACTTCAAAATATTGGAACAAGGTTTGAGGGCCACTGGAATTATTTCTTTACTAAGATAAAATTGGATTGACACCGTTATGATTTGATTTGATTTACTTTTTTTTCTAAATTTATGGACATGGATCGCTAATATTAAAATAGTCATAAATTGGTTGTCGTGATTATGACTAACGGTGAAACACAAGGTAAAGGCACTAATGGTGGTAATTGTTAATGTTTTTTTCTACCGTACACATGATCTCCTTTGAATTTCAACCTCAAGACCGTAAACATCATGTTTATTTTTATGTTTTTGCATAATTCCGAAGATATTTTAACAATGATAATAAATTAATAATCACAATCAAGGTTTATTTCAGTTTAATACTTCACAAAAATGCTCCTTCTCACTACAAAATTTAACATTACTAATTGGCATATTTGACGTTTTCCTCCAAATATTCATAAAACTTGTGGTAGATAACTTAGATAATGCCACTTCTGCAGTATTTAATAAAAAAAAAACGAAATATATGGTAAAGAATTACATCATCGTTAAAAAACAACAGCTTTCTGAAATATCAAACAATATCAGTTACTGGATGCTGTCATAGACACAGTCTATGTCATTATGTCTAGTCTATGTCTAGTCATTATCTGTTTTAAACAATGACAGCTGCTTTTTGAGTTTAAAATTAAAAAAAAAGATATTTTCTGTCATCAAAAAATTAAAAAATATCAGTCAATGTCAAAAACGTGATAAAAGTACCGTGCGATCAAAAAAAAATAAATTAGAGTAGGCGTCGATTAAATTCTACAGTTGGCAACACATTGGATGGGAATCTGGGCTGGAAATTTTTCACACCAACTGAAAGTGAAAATGACCATTCACCGTTTTCGTCTTGTACAGCAATAAAAAATTAAAAATGAACATTATGTCACTCAAAAGGAATAAAACGCAAACTTGTCAAAGTTTCCGCTGACATTTGATGTCAAAAATTAGGCTTGCCATCTTTAATCATCGCCTACTCTAATTTATTTATTTTTTTTTAATCGCTCGGTACTACATACCTCTGCTTATGCTAAATAAGAGTTACTTTCCTTTTTCCAGTAATTTTCCAATAGTCGAAAAAACTTTTGCTACAGTAATATTTTTTTTATGCAAAAACTGTCAAACATAGACATAGTCAGCTTGAAATTCTCAGTAGATTCAGTGCAAATATGGCGACATTAATTAAAACAACAATTTTTGGCGGATGCGCCGGGTCAACATTTTTTACAAAATTGTAAAAATCTTGATAGCCAAAAAAAGTTAGATGATCACTTTAAATTTAAAGCTCCATGACACGTGTTAAAAAATGTGCAAATTTAGAACTTCTCTGTGATTTTTTATCTTCTCCAATAACTGTCACTAATTAAAATATCTTCATCTCCGCATTCTTCCCATAAAATTTATTTACGGTCATAATCTTTAACCAGATCCTTTTGCGGTTTGTTTTGCCGACCTGCTTCTCCAGGGACGTAGCTAGGGGTGGGCTTAGGTTGACCGGGCCCACCTAAAAATTTGCGGGCCATCCCCGACCAATCTTCCGCAACATGTGAAAATCAAAAATAGCATTACACAAATTCTTCTTTAATAAAGCACAGGAATGTGCCAGGCAATGATGTTGTACACTAAACAAAGATACCCGTGCTTCTAAACTGCTGAAGATTGAAAGAAAAGTAGATTCATTGCGTCTCAATAATTAACAATATTTCAAGGAACTGTTGAAAAAGCACGTAGCCGTTGTTTATAAACCGTTAGAAGTAATTTGACCCCACGGGTAAACAATAATGTATCAATAAATATACCTATAAACAGTTTTTTTGTAAGCCCTCTTTTTCAGCTAATTAATTGTAAAATATAATTTGTTTCAAAAATGAGTGGTAAACCGACGATAAGATTGTTCTGCATTAAGCGAGTTTTTATTTTATATTTTTTGGTTTGATGTTTGATGCCATTTATTTATTATTTTTTTTATACATAACGGAACATACAGACAAAATATCAATTTTAAAATAAATATGTTGTAATACTATAAATGGTTGTAGAATGGTACTAACGAGGCGATTATGTAGTAATACGAATTTTATTAACTATAGACTACGACACGAATTTTTGCAGTACTGAAATGACATAATATGAATCTTACATCAAGTATAGCATTTGAGTATTGTTAAACATTAGTAGCCCATCCTAAAATAAAATTTGTCCACACGCGGCTCACCTCAATTTTCATCCTGGCTACGTCTCTGTGCTTCCCAGAAACACTAATCGGGTCTTCATTTCGGTAATTTACCACTTTGAATTTTTTCCACCTCTCAATTGAATTTGTCATACATAGGTATAAAGAAATGTCAAGGATTAGGAAAAATGATCTCGTTTATATTGAATGACTCAACAATAGGTAAAAACGTTTTTTGTGAGGGGTTAGTTAACCTTTCACGGTTCAAAGTGTTTGAATCCCACCCATCCTGTCTCTCCTTTGGACAAAGATGAATTAACATAATTTTTCAATGCGTTGCTTATATTTCATGGTCTGGAAAATCCTCGATGCACTTGTAACCAATTTACAAGTGGAGATTTTACAGCGGAACGGCGCGTTGTTAGCAATGTCCGGTAACACTTGCAAAAAAAAAATCAGTGGGAGAAATTTTATTTATTTGCTAGATATTGACACTAAAGTCCCTAAAATTATGTCTATGTTACAGATTTTTGGTATGTAGCCGTTCATTATTTATTATAAATAATGGTTAAAGACTAGATAGAATAAATAAATATAATTAACATTTGTTTCGAATTATCGTATTATTGATTATTTACACCAATTCGAAGCACATTTTATTCTATTGCACAAGGTATGTTATAAAAATATAAAACGCATAATAAATATGTACATGTATGATATTCAGTCTGTTGGGTTCGACGAAACCCTTTCCCATTCCCAGTCTCCCTCCAAAGGTACTTCATTTACAAAATCAAAATTCCACTTTTCTTCAGCTCGTTGCCTACTTTCCTCCAACATATCGATTAAATCCGGCTCAATATTTTCATTTTCCTCATTTTGAAACAATCGTCGTCTGACATTGTTGCCATTTTGAGATTTAGAGGGTTTTGGTTGCATGACAGTCGCACCTTCACTACAACAAAAAAGCAACACTTACATTAATTATTCGAAAGTATTCCACCATAAACTACCAACTGATAACAGCAATACAATTCAACTCACTGTAGAGTCTAAAATCGATAAAATAGCCAAGTACAGGATGCGCATGTCATGAGAAGTGCAAATTAAAAATAGATTGATTTGGGAATTGGTGCAACCAACAATTGGTAACACTGCAATTTAATTACTTTGTTTTTGTGAAATCGACACACAAAGCTTTATTGTTGTTAAAAATGGAAATTGAAATGGGTTATCAGTGATGTACGACTTGAACAATAAGCCATTAAATCCATCTAAAGGCACTTAATGTCATATGCGCAAAAAGTAAATTGTTTTTTTATTTGTATAATTACCGGACGTTAAAAAAATTTGACAGTCGCGCCAATGTTTCCCCTAGCAACTGAGGGCTACCAACTTACCATTTTTTTAAGGGAAAATCTCGATGGAGCCTCACACTCACACACAGGTTAATGTGAAACTGTTGTTTTATTTTGTATTATTTCGCGTCTGGGAACTAAAAGAACAATTGCATGAGGGAACGGCCAATAAGCGCCTGGTATTACCCGATTCCCTCTCTCTTTGTTCCGTCTATTATTATTTGGATTAATTGCACGCTATTTCCGGTTTTACGCTCCGCGGAGCCGACTGAATCTCCATTTGCCGAATTTGAATTTCATGTGGCATCCGTGATTTTTTATTTACCGTTTTGTTGCCAAACTTGTGTTTATTCTTTAAAAAACTTCTCGAAACGAAATCGTGATTACGAAATTAAAGTACAAAATGATGTATAATGTCTGACGATTTGTTTTTAAGTTTTTTTAAGATTCTAACAAAAATAAATAAAAAAAAATAGATTGGGATGTCATGTTGGTAGCGTGCACGCTAAATTTTCATTAGGGCAAAATAATTTTTACGAAAAGTCAAATTTAAACTTACCTCTCTGGAGGCTTTTGGCCCATTATCACTTCCACGATATCAAACACTAAGTGTATAAAATTCAATAAAATGCATATGAAAATATAAAATAAAAACCAGAAAATTTTGAATTTTGATTGAAATTCTTCGGGACAAAAGTCACTCTGAAACCTGGCGCCTTGATTATTTATAACACCCCACTTTTCAGTTTTAATTAATTAAAAGCGTATTTGCTAATGACGAGCAAATTCTCTTCCGCAAATATAATGAGTCATTTTATTAATTAAATTTTTCTTCCTACTCAAACTCAACAAATGTAAAGTGGGATAACGAAATGCAGTAACAAACATTGACTTCATATCAAACCATCCTTCCTGTGTGGTTATTCATTCGACCCTGTTTTTTGTCTTTTTATCACTTTAATTTAACAGGAAGGTGAACAACACGCCCATAATCTCAAATAAAGTAGGTCACACAGAAAAAATAATTAAACACAAATGTAACACAATTGTCAGAAGCAAAATGTGGTATCCTCATTAGTTAGTAGAATGCATAAATTATAATCCCGTTATTAATTACGTAAAAATATTAAATTTTCCTAAGTTATGCAACCAAAAATGCACGTGCGTTAAACGAATTGGCTATACTACATCCAATTTATTTAAATTATTGTCCGTATGAGTGAAAGATAAACTAAATTAGAGTCTTAGCTAAACCAATTGAAGTAAAAATAAATTTGTTAGCTTGTACATAATACTTTCCGTAATTACACTTAGGTGCTAGACTTTTATGGCTGCTAATTATGCCATAATTACGCGGGGGCTACTCGGTAATAGTAATCTCTTTTTACGATTGCTTTTCTGCGAACTTTCGCCATACTCAGGTGCAATAATTGTAAAGAAGTCGGACACCTGTGTGCAACAAATTCAACAAATCTCAAAAGACTCGTTAAACCAGGTTAAAACGCATCTCGTATTCAGTTTACGTTACTTAAAAATGGAGGAATAAAATGCAAAAACATGACGAAATGTTTATTCATACCGTAGCGTAACTGCTTTTGATTGCATCACCGTTAAGCAGACTCTACCCGAATGTTTCCTGACAGTGGAATAGGTCAAGGTTTTGGCAGGGCGAAAATGTTAATTTTTGTGTGAATAGTAGAGTCAACTACCTGAGAAAAGGGCGGGAAGTTTTACTATGATCTAAATAGTGTGAAGAGTCTAGACAGCTTGTCTGCCTCTTGTAAATTAAATCTGGACTTTTCTACCTGAACAAACTTACAAAGTTGCTGGATTTGAAAACAATTGAATTTTCTTTAGCTAGTCTTTTGTTCTAAAGCAAGACAAATTGATTTACCCGTGTTGTATGCATTATTTTTTGCACCGCTTGATTGATATATCCTGGAAAGTCATTTAGGGGTGAGAATATCCTGTCTGGGACGGATGCTGAATCTCCTGACCCTCTGCTAACACAGACTGAGAAACACGAAAGCGAGATTTTTTTATCTTTACTGATAATTGCGTTATTTGGGTTAGTTATAGGATAATAATACAAATTTTTTACTAATTAGTTGTTAATTGTCGCTCTTACTAAATATTTATTATCTGTATGCACCAGTATTGTGAGTTGTATCTACAATATTATCTAATCGTAAGTTCATTAACCATAAAAACGTTACACAAAGTACTTGAACTCATTTAGTTTGCAGCTTTGCAAGAAAAAAAAATAGAAATTTAGGCAGGTGTAATATTGCAAATTTAGTTTTTTAGGTGGGTTAGAGCAGGTGAAATGTGCACATTTGAAAGAACGTTGAACTCGCCTTTGTCTATGGGGGCTATTGGCCCCAATTATACCAAATTTAATAGACTCCAACTTTAACTATTTACGAATTAGCACGAGATAGTGCAAATAAAGTGCATAAATTTTATTTCTGTGTAGCTTGTTAAAAGTCAATCAAAATTAACTTTCAAAAACTATATCGTTTTCTGTAATTTTTAATTTTGTAGAATTGACATAAAGTTTGCCTCCATCTGTTTATAATACTTATAATTTTTTTATAAATCACATAAAATAAATTGTTAAGATTGTTACACCAAATTTTATACAAGTAGTAGGTACCTAATGACTGTTGTTATTATTTTAAATTAACATTATTAAAAAAAAACAACAATTTTCTTGTTTTTAGAATTCCAAAACGTGACGTTCGAAAATCAAGGGATTTTTGTTTTCGCGTATTAGACACCCTGGCTTATAGTTTGAATTTTCTTTGTATCGAGCTTTGGTATCAAGTAAGTAAGAATATTGTAAAAATAATGGCAATGTTGACATTTCCCATTCTTGGCAAAAGGTGTTTTTTGTTAAAAATATTGTGAAAATTTTAAACAAATTAGCGGAGAACTAATAAGAAGACGTAAAAAGATAGAATCTTTGTTATTTTGGGCATCTGCGCAGAAATTTGATCCACTTTCGGTGAGTGCAACTTTGTGGGTGATTTTAGACCAACAAAATGATAATCTTATAATAATGTTTTTATTAGATAATGGAAAATGCGAAAATGTCCCAAAAACAAAATCCGGCTAATTGTAATCCATTTTGCACGCCATTATCAGTCCCTCATTACCGACGCTTTCACTTTTCAAAGCGCATTAGTTCCTCGTAGAAACTAATCAGTAATGTGCTAGAATCATCTCAACCAAGATAAGCAAAGCAATAAAATCAAGCATTAACAACGCTCGTAGTGACGAAGTCAATGCAAATTAAAAAATAGTGTCTTATAGTGTGCAATGTTTTCAAATTTGAGCGCGACCTCCCCTTGGCGTTGGAACGGTCCAACACGATTCCATAGCGTCTTTTCCTCGCACACGACTTCAACGCTTCAGTCGCGTAAAATCGTTTGATTAGTTTGGGTGTGTGTGTACGTCCGAAACTTCGTTGAAGAGTTTCTCGCGCAAACTTGCATAAATCTGCTGTGACTCTCACCCCGCGTGCCATACGGACACTCACCCGTACCTCTCCTTCGGGAAAATTGAGTTTTCCACACCAGAATTCAGTGTTTTTGGGTCTGATAAAGTGAAGCGTGGCTTGACTCCAACGTGTATTGTTAGTTGCCTACCCGCCATGAGTATGAGTGTTTGCGAAAACGTCAAAATGAGTTACAAATTCATGGGGCGCAAAAGTCCCATTGCAAAAGTGAAGCGAAGCCTTTTTGGGAAGATCGACCCCGAAGACAACAAGACCTTCATCCAGAATCACATTAACTATGATTTGGCCAAGAATTGCGCCAAATGGAACTTCAACTTTCGCGAAGAGACCACGCTGGACCCCGAAGGTGACATAATTTGGCGTCAGGCAAGTCCGGTGATGGTCAATCGAAAACGCAAAATTGTGGAAATGGTCGAAGCGCCCGCTTATTATTTTCAACCCATCGAACCAGCCGCCCGTTCGACAGAAAGCCCCAAAATCAAGGTTCCGAAACAGACACAAATCACCGGTGAGTACCGCTCAAAATGGCTATGTCAATATTTGCGATTTCGTTGCGTTTATTATTGTTTATTGGTTGCATTGTTGCCAAGTTGGAGAGAGCAACGGCCCCGAAATGCATCGTGCAGAAAAATTTCGATGGGATTTATAATTTTGGCAAATATTTGCGCGTGTTATTCATCGGTGCGGAAAGTGGCTGACTTCACGTAGGCGCGAAATATGAAATTTGCAAATGCAGCAATGATTCACTGCAAATTTGGCATTTTTTTACGGTTATAAAGTTGTTTTCCGTTTTTTAGCTTTCATTTGGTTATTAACATAGTAGCGATTGTTAAATTGTTTATCATATCATGATTATTATTAAAAACGTGACCTACGATTCAACAATTGAACGTACTAGACAATATGGTGAAGCAAAAAATGCTTATTTTAACCAAGTGAATTATTCATGTCTGAAATGTACCGATAATAAAGGATTTAAAACACATTTAGATAAGCGTTAACCACACAAATTGCCAATTCTTCGAATTTCTGATTAAGCTTTATTAATCACAATGGGAGTGTAGCACTATTTTCATAATTTTTGGTTCAATAAATACATAACCGTATTACTTTCATTGAAACATTTAAAAATTGGAGTATTTTCTGCATTTTGCTCCGTTTTGTAGTCATTTTTAAACGAATATATTTTTGAATATTTATTATCTTTATTATTGGTAATTAATTACCAAAGCATTTACTTGCGAATTGCGAGACTTTAAGTATCTGTTTTGTTATATTTTTTACGTTTTAAATGGAATAGTTTATTTTTCGTTTCCCTGTATCTACTTTGTACTCCTACCATTTATTAGAAAACATTATTGTTTGAAACTATTCCGGAATGCTATTTCGCTCCATTTTAACGTTTTAACTCAAAGTTCCTCATTTTTAAATTATCATTACCAAAACATTTCAAAATTAACATATTTTACATTAACAATTAATTACAATAGGTATATTATTTTGTTGCACTAGTTAATAATAATTATTAACAAGACAACAAAAAATCATTAACTCTGTTTCCACAATCTGTGATTTTTGACTTATGTATCTTACATAAATGGAGAGATTGGATCTTAGAATATAATTACTCAATTAAATCTCGGTTCAAGTTAGATCAGTGTAGTTAATTAGGCCGATTTCACAAATTCTGATAAAAAATTTCAAATGAGAAAATAAGATAAGAATGAGAAATTAAAAAAGTCTTAAGTTGGTCAGTTTGCTCTATATTTATTTTTGTGATAAAAATTTCACATTATCCACGCGTTTTCTACAACTGTTACTTTTCTCTTTAATTGAGTGATTAACGTCTTCGGACTAAATAGATAAGCCCAGCTCTCAATTCCATGAATCACTAAATTTCAATCATACATTCTCTTTCGTGGTTTCGGTATTATCTCTAAAAACAAACGTTACCAACCCAGCTTGATTTGTCGCAGTCAAAAATAACCGTTGGAAACACCCCCTTTCCAATACGTCACCCCCGTAAAATGCACCCTCGACCTTTTGAAAAATTCCGTTTTGGAAGAGCATCTGTCCTATCTCTCACACACGTACACTACACACCCAAAAACCCTCTCGAAAAAGCCAGCTGTTCCTTTTACGTAATGAAAATTTACCGTTTCGTAATTTTTTATCGTGTGTGTGATCGATTAAGTACATAATTTGTGTGTTTATAGTAATTATTTGTCAACATAAAACGGTGTTATCTTGCTTCGTTTACAAACGAGGATATGAGGCTAGGTTTTATTATTATTTTATTAACGGTACTCGAATACACGGTATGAATAAATTGGCAATGTTGCGATGTGAGTGCATGATTTTTTTGGAAATTTTATAACGTGCTGGTAATGTTTTTTTTTTTTTTTTTTTCATAGAAAAGAAATGACATAAGGCGGCAACTCGTATATTAATCGGCCACTGATAATAATTGCACTCGCCGGGCCAGTGTCCTCTATATTGTGCATCGTAGCATCCCGTAAATAAATAAAATCCCAAAATAGCACTCTGCAGTGGCGGCAAATGTTAACCATGTGGTAGTTTTTTTTCCCTTCGCGTTGGGTACTTGTTTACGCTCGTGCGCGAGACCGGCTCCCCGTGTTTATTTCTCGATTTTAACCCCCTTAGGGCTCGGATTGTTTTTTGTCGCCGTTCCCGTCTACGGGTCGTCGTCCCGAAAACAAAACTCTATGTATACGCCCTCGGCCCCCTCGAGTCCGTTTTTTAATTTATATTTTTCGATGATCAACAAACCGGTCGCACCACCGCCAGAATACGCTCAGCGTACGTGACATGGATATGGCCGATCGTGTGGGAGCCGTCCGGTCTTCATGTTCTCCCCCAACCCCCTCGTTCAAATCTCATCACGTGTCCTGCGTTTTTTCGGATAGGAGGAAGCGTGTTTTTTATGTGCGTGGTGCGTAATACACACCAGCTCACCTTGATCGGTACGTTAACCTGGTGCCGTGATAGATAATGGGGGCTCCGCTGTCCCTCCCTGAAATCAGATTATAGGAGTGTATCTAGCGGGGGTCCGCCGGGGGCCAACCAAGAAAAACCTCATCAGCGTACACTGCACTCGCTGTGTTTACAAGCAAACGGCCACATCAGGTCGTTCACTTTTCGAGAGAGGCTCGAGAGCACCAGAGCGCTCTTCCATCGGCACAAAGAAGTGAATATATTTTTTTTATATTGTGCGGTTAAGGAAGTCGATTGCGATGCCGGTGACGAGTGTGATGGGAATGCGGCCTTAGGGGGCCGTTAGGTGAGAGAAAAAAGAAAACAAAACGTACGAATGAGAAGGAAAATATTTAACTCAATATTTATGATTTCTCAAAAGAGAACCCTCCGCAAGTGAAGACACAAGAAAACCACTTGTTTGGTGTTCTTTATTTGACATGTACAAAAAATTCACAAGAAATATTCTCTATTGTTAATTTTGAAAAACCTAATTTTGCGCCCTTTAACCGCCTTATGATATATCCCATCAAGGGTTGCCAACAATAAAATTATGAAAAGGATAATCTCGACCGGTCAGTTGTGAAATCTCTCCGATTAATTGTATTCTTTTCTCTCCTCATCTCTCCTTTTTCCGCAAACCTTTTAACTGTCATTTTTTGACGAACAACGTCCGTCAACAGTACGAGGGTTAAGCTCCCTATTTCTTTGTTAGCGATGCACCTCGAGCAACTTTCAGAGTACAAAGGTCACGCCACAAGTTAAAAACCCTCGGTACACCGGACCGATATGAATAATAATAATAAAAAGAAATGTACAAGAGGAGTACCGAAACTAATACACGTGGCATTTTGGACCAATTACAAGTTCTCACGAAAGAGTTCTCATGTTTTCGAGCGTTTACATCCGGGTTGAGGAAACTGCCGAAAGGAATAAAGCGGCGTAGATGACATGTGACTTTGGTTTTTGCGTGTGAACGCACGAAATATGTGACCCAATATTTAGCAAAAGAAGAGAAAAAAGTCGGCACTCATTAGTCGTCGGCATTGCTCTATAAATAAAATTCAAAATCTTAATTCTGCATTTGCTTTATACAAATTAAAGAATTGAAAAGTTGGAATAGTAAATTTTAACTCGATTTTTTTTCAAACAGATAATCTACGCACTGTCAGATTTGAACTCGTGATAAGTTTCAATTGACCTCACCATCTGTGGGTAGAAATTGGCTAACTTTTTGCGGGAAACGTTCCCATAGTGGTAAAAAACAAAAACAAAACGACTTGTGCGTAATTTGTTGTCCCAGTTTGGCGAAGGTCGTTTGCAAGAGTGATAAAAAGTAACCTTGAAGTTTATATCACTACTACATCGTTTATTGCGTAGCGGATTATAGTACAGCAGCGTCCGTTAGGTTTTCAGACATATCCAATTGGCGGCTAATTTGAATTTTATTAATTTCGATTTTCTTTTGTTTCAGATTACATGGTTAAATCTAAACGGCAAGTGGTGTGCAAGAAGGATTCTTCGGTTGAAAGGCCGATTAAAATACCGAAATTGGCCGATTTCTGTTCAAGTTAAAACGATTCTGTGCCTCCCACTTCTCTTTACAAATTTTCGATCTCTAAATTATTTAAGTACAAGTTGTTGAAAAAAATTATCTTAGATTGTACAGTGAATTATTATTTTTTGTTTGTATTTATTTTGTAAAGTTGATTTTTTTCTTTCTTTTGATCTCGAAAATATTTGGTTTTGTTGGTGGTTTTTTTCTGTGAGTTGGAGGACTCAGTATGATACGTAATTAAGGGTGAAGGAGTTTATAAAGGTTTTTCTGCACTATCCATATATTATTTTTCTTTTTTTTGTGTACATAAGATGTGTTTAAAGGTTTGTTAAAAGAAATGTGTACAATTAAATTAACAAGAATTTTGTGTTTTTTGTTGATCTATTTGTACTTACGATACGGGTTATTTAGTCAATAAACTAGTGCAATTTTTCTTTTATTTTGTTGACTAAATATAGATCGTAAATTGATATGTAGATAGTGCTGTAAAGAAATTTTATAAATTTTTGGTTCGTATGACCGATCAAGTGTGTGTAAAAAGAACGATTTTATCTGCACAGGGGAAGTTGGGAATAAGTTTTTCTAACTTTGTTCATAAGTACTATCATTTGGAATGAGTAACTGTAACCCAAAGAAAAAATTAAGTACAAAGTGTTTTTGGCAATTTTTTAATGCAGAATATTCATTGTGTGGCAGCTTTGCCTGTTTGTCAATAAAAATAAGAATTAGGATTCAGGTGTACGAAAGCAGTACTTGATTTTTTGCTTTATTTTTTTTTTTTTGTTTATTATTCAGGGGAAGCGATTTTGAGACAAACTAGAGTTGCAAGATCTCAATTCTGCTTTTTGTATGTAAAAGATTTTGAGATATTAAAAATAGATATAATTTATAACACCTGTGATCTATTAATGTATGATCTCGAAAAATATTATTTTTTATTTAAATATTATATAATTTTTAGCCAAATAATGTTCGGTTGAGGGTGTAATTATTATAAATAAAAAATAGTGCCTTTGTTGTCTTCTCACGTCAAATAACCTCAGCCCAACAGTGTTTGGAATACTGTAGTTTAAAAATAGTTTGTATGTAAATCTGTTGAAAACATTAAAGTATATAAGGAGCCCTTGAAATAAAGCTTCTATTTGTTAGTGTACACCGAGTTTGATTTCAATGACCTTGTCATAAAACAAATGCAACCGCGAGCACGTGATCCATCAACTAAATTCAATTGGTATTGTGCACAGATGCATTTGCCAGGTGTTGCGACCTTCAGGGTCACACAACCTCATAAAATACGACCAACACAAGAAAACAATGGATTATAAAAACCATCTGACCGGAACGGAACATGCTATTCGCAAGATTTGTCGTTTGTTCTTGATTTAATTCATCTGACATTTCTCACTGAGAACAATGGACACGTATGCCATATGGCATTGATGACCTTGATTAAAGCGACCCCAATTTTTCTAACTGATAACGATTTGGTCAAAACATTATTTATTGGGTTTCTTCCACGCAAAATAAATGTGTCGAGGACAAACGCGATCGTTAATGCAAATTTATTTGACAAATGTTTTATTTAAGAGACACATGTGAAAAAAAATAAACACTCCTGCTTGTTTGCGATAGAAACTGAATAGAAATGGGTTAGTTTGATGGTGATGAGCGTAGAAAATTTTCATTAGGCAGATTTTTGGTTGTTTAAAATGTGTATTAACAATTATGTTATTATTTAATTGTTACATTTTTACAAAAAATCAGTCTTTTTTCCTGTTTTAACTGACTAATATTCCTGAAATACCACTTTTTAATACTGATATTTGTCTCACCAGTTGTAGCTAATTGACTTGGATTCTGGAATAAATATTTATTGCCATTGGCCAAGTGCGTGAAGAAAAATTTGGGTTTCACCACAAAGAAAACGTGTTTTTTAAAGGGTGAAGCCCTTTTGCGAGATTGCGAACAATAAGTGTGGAACGTTTAAATGACGTCATTTTTAAATTTCTTGTGTGAGTAATGTATAAAATACTTCGTCCAATTTTATTTCTCGAAATCTGCAACAAAATTAAAAACGTTTTGGTGAAACAATAATTCTTTTATTGTGTTTATACACTCCCAACCTTGTTTATCATTTCGCCGAACTGCAGACCGCAGCAAACTTTCCAAAATAAGACCGGGCGTGTGCGGAATTTTTTATATCCATTTGTACGCGTGGGTGACCTTTCGAAAACAAAAAGCCGTCCAGTGAAGCTCCCATCTTCATCGTTAGAAACCAGTTTCAAACAAAGCCTCACACATTCCTGTATCAATGCCTCAATTATGCTCGAAATATGCAACGAAAGGTGCACTTTAATCAAATTTATGATAGCCAACAAGTGCCCCAATTGTGTTTTTTGCAGGTGCTAGGGATTTATTGCTTGGTTTCTTATCATGTTTACCTACCTGGAACCCTCGTGACTAATCCACTCCTATGGTGACTCACTCTCATAGTCCTGATTCTGAAACAATCGCAGGAATTTCTTGTGGTGGCAACAGTAAAAACAAAACGAAATCCCCCTAACTTGTCATTTGCTTATCAAGCAGCAATTGTGTTTAATTATGCCACTTGACGGGCTTTTTTCACGCGGAAGGATTTATGCCAGCCGTTGATTTATCTGTTGTGAAGTCTTTGACTGGAAGTTGAAAGACGTAATGCAACAAGATAAACATCGTTCCCAAGGCACTAAAGCGGAACTTTACGTTCAGACGTTCAACAGACCCTTAAATTATCGACAGGGTAAAAATGAAAATTCCCAAATTGTCTGAAAGCAGGACATTTCTCACGGTATTCCAGATGATACTGATCATGTCAATATTTACCTTTAATTTTCTTATCCAGCTCTATGAAATTACAAAAACGTGATTAGGATCTTTAAGAGGATTAAAACCAATGATGAAAAAACAAGTGAGATGAGTCACGTTAATTTAATTAATTACAGACTTAGATGAGAAGAGAAAATCACATTTACTGCTGTTACCATACTTTTTTGTAATTTTTTGCTTGTAAACAGACAAAAAACCATAAAAATGTAATTTTCCACTAATAAATTATGCCAATTTCTAAGTTTTATACAGGGTAATTTTATAACTTGTGCATAAATTTTAAGAGGTGATAATAGAGATTTAAAAACAATGAAATAACTCAACTTGCCTTATCGAAATGTTCATAGTTTCTGAGATGAAAAGGGTGCAACCTCCATTTTGGCGTCAATAATTTTAGCACAATTTTTTTTGTAACAAGTACTGAATAGATTTTAAAGAACTGACCCCAGAGCAACTTTTGTTGCTAAAGTTTATGACTGCGCGCCAAATTTCAAGTTACTCGGTGACTAAAACATGTTGCTGGCACTAAATTTGTTGATCGAAGAAAATAAATGAAATATCGGTCTAGTATGATTTACTTCTATGTTTTATAGTTTTCTCAATTACAACTTCAACAACATCTCAATTAATTATTAGTTAATAATGCCGGACGACGATGGCTTACTCGTATATACAGGGAGCGCCAGAACTCGCGCCCCAGAGAAAAATGCCGTATAAGGTAAGATACCAGGAACATGGAGAAAATGTTAAAAAAAAATATCTATAAAAATTTAGAAGTTATGAAGGTTTAAAGTTTGCACTTTGACTCTATTTATTTCTGTTGGAAAAATAATTTTCCAAGTTTTTTTGCGCTTAAAAGAGGAAACAAGGAAACTGTATCCTAAATTGTAAATCTGTTCAATGCTACTTGTGGCTTTTATTCGCAAAACTTTTGTCCCTTTACTAAATAAATGGAAAAAAACATATGCAAGATTATCAGTATCATTAAAAAGATATAAAAAAATGTCAAATGTCAAAATTTTTTGACATTTGAATTTTTTAAACATTTTTTTCATGTTCCTGGTATCTTACCTTACTGGAAAATTTTCTCTGGGGCGCGAGTTCTGGCGCACCTGTATATAAAAATGTTATAACGGTATTATAGAAAAAATTGGCGTATATTGCACTGATTATTTTTCTTTTCCAACTAATTTTTCTAGAGAAAATAGTTCCTTATGAATTTATTTAATTTGAGATTTAATCGGAAAATGCAAAAAAAAAACCGAAATTTATAGTTATTTATTGTAAGAGTGTGTTAGGTAGCGTTTTATCCACGAAAGAATGTTTAACTGCGAGAACGTCAATTCGAGCGGTTATAGTATATTACATAACGAGCACGGAAAGTGATAAATAACGCACAAGCGGGAAAAAATGGGTTCTCTCAAAATCTTTCCAATTCCAAAATAATATAAAGTATAACCCCTTCTTTTTTCACTAAAAGAGGAGAAAAAAAGTGAAAAAAGTTTTTGGACAGTGCAATTTCAAGTTTGGAAGCAAGAGTTGCTACACAAAAAGTTTGTTTTTTTACAACTGTTTTTCCGTTCACTATTAGTTTAACATCTTAGTTAGATCACCTTGCAGTGTAGTTCTCAAGATTAAATTCAATTAACAAAGTGAACTAATTTACACTAAGCATTGTTTCCTCAGATTTCCAGTTTGAAAAGTAAGTCAAAATCAAAAAGGCAACTTATACACAAGAGGTATTCGATAAAATGAATTTGTTTTCGTTAAATTTTAAAAAACAAAACAGAAGAATTCTTGTTGGAAACTCTCAAAACCAAAACTATAGTGGTAATTTATTGTGCCATTTTGCACACAAAGGGCACTATTTTTGTTAGAATAATAATTACTGTAATTATTTGGTCATTTGTCATTTGTTAAAGTAGCAATTTTGTGTCCAACTCTATATCTTTGTTTTGGAAAAAAATGAGCCAAAGAACGTTGCGGTGGGAATTTGTGCGGTCCTCGTGAAAATTTAAATACGAAATTACACGTTGCGGAGTAGCGACAATGGCACAGTTCAATAAATGTCAAACAGAATTACAAAGAGTCGACTCTCGGCGTATGATTTAAACATCAAAGAACCGGGTGAACAAAGGCCCCGAGGTGCACGTTTTCTTGACGACAGCAACAATAGAAAATAATAGAATGTCAAATAGAGCGTACGACCAGCTAGTTCTTCCCTACACTATTAGAGGTAATAATTTCTCCTAGTTATGTCCTAGTTACACACCCCGTTAGGGGAGCGCATCTATCCCTAAACGGTGAATAACAAACACAGTTTGATAAAAACACCTTAATCTTTTTCGAGTGCTCTCAGGTGTATTTTTAACACCTCGCAGGACAATGCCGGGCTATAAACGACGTCTTTACCAGTTTTACAAACACCGAGCTTTGTCACCCTCTCGCGAATTCGCTCGCTGTATAACCGTATAAACTTCTTCTGTTGGGGGTATCGCGTTGCTTCCCCTATTTCGCACATATATTTACTCGCCGCGAGGACAATGGATACGTGTGAAATTGCCTTTGTGGTCAGTTTAATAGGGCCAGTTTTGAAACAACTGTTACCAGCGAGTAAAACATACAGTTAATTGCTGTGGATTTTTTTAATCGCTGCTAAACACACTGTAGTATTAATCAGTTGAGAGAGATGAAAAAGTTGTAAGAGCTCGTGCCGTTTTTGCAAAAGGAGAAGCCGACGACCACGTTATTAGCGTTTTATGGGCCTTCACGGTTGACCTTCTTTTCAAACTGTATTGCATTATTATTTGAGACGCATCTTTGCAAGGCTAGACGACAGAGGAAATCGATGCGATTTTATTGCTGATTCTATGCTAATTCGGGACATGGCGAAGAGTCGAGGACAAACTGCTCAAAAACTACTAAATTCAGCAGGGATTTATGGTCTAGTTGTTCAGCTAGGCAAAATTCAAAAATTATTTCAAGATTTGGAACTTTGTGTTCTTAGATGCTCGCCCGGCTTGAAGACAAGCGATACGAATATCTAAAGCTTTGTCTCGAAAGGAAAATAACAACTTTTTTTAATAAATGCCCTTTTGAACAGGGTATTAACTCTACCGGCATCTTCTTTTTGTGATAAAATTTTTCAACTTGAACGAGTTTTTCACGGAAATTCATATTATGAGAAATTGCCAACAGTGAGTGAATTGCATTATTTTTCTATCTTTAATTTAAATAAATTTGTTTTCTTAGAATTGTGTATTAATTTATAAACACAAAACTAGAAGAATGTAACAATTTTGTTCTCTGAATTATTGTTTTTAAGCTCAACATGGAAAATTTTTATCCACACTATAAAGAGACTTTATTTCACACTTTAGATGCGTAGGAAGTACCACTTTATCCACTAGTAGAATAAAGTATCTTTATTCCACTGTTAGTAACCAGCGCACCGCGTAACAGCTTACTACGTTTAACCGAAAGCACATTTGGCGTGACGTTTAAATGTCACTTTAATTTTTAATTACGTTTGGAATAATTTGGGCCTGTGATTGTGGATAAAACGTTATATTACAGTCGTGTGTTAGTAGCGTTTTATCCACTTAAGAAAATTAACTGCTCGAACTGACGTTCTCGCGCTTAAACATTTTTACGTGGATAAAACTCTACACTCTTACAATAAATAACTATAAATTTCGGTTTTTTTTGCATTTTCCGATTAAATCTCAAATTAAATAAATTCATAATGAACTATTTTCTCTAGAAAAATTAGTTGGAAAAGAAAAATAATCAGTGCAATATACGCCAATTTTTTCTGTAATACCGTTATAACATTTGATTTGCCCCACCAACATAAAATAACCAATTACAGTTAAAGTCTGATTCAGTATGTACAACAAATAAAATTAAAAACAAATCGAAAATAAAAATTAACCCAAATCTTCAAAATGAATGTCAAAATCACTGTCATCATCACTTTCTCTCAAATTTAAAATTAAATTTTCCAAAACATTTTATAAAACTGTTAGTAGCATAACTGCTGATTATAAAAATTTTCAGTTTAAATCTGACCGCCTTGGAGACATATTTTATTGGTTACTAAGAAAACCAAATGGGCGGGGCAGATCAAAAGTAATCGGGGCTTCAGCATAGAAGCCGACATCTGTTTCGCATTATCATTAGAATTGAGAAATTTTTTGATTGTTTTTTGTTTCTTGTAAAAATGTTACGGAAATATTGAAAAAATATTTCACAATATTTTATTGTACATTGTTGATTATACTTTTGCATTTGCTTAAAATTTGGACCAAATGACAATCTATAGGGTGAGAAAAAAGTAGAATACAATTTTAATTTTTTTACTAAGTACAACAAAGGCTCAATTCCTTTATCCAAGAATACGTTTTCTTCATCGGTTTTAATGAGTACTTGGTTGGTGGTGTAACTTCTTTTGAGTAAAAATTCGTTTGGCAGCGCTTATTTCTGTTATTTTTTTTAAGTGTTGTAGTGTGTCAACTGTCAAACAAACTGCATTTAGTCCCAAATTTAGGGACAAAACGCGTATTGTTTGAATCAACACGTGGGACTAAATGCAGTTTGAATGTCCAGGCAACTTTCAATATTTTTTTTAACATAGGGCAAAATGCGATTTGAACCTCCAGGAAAGGTTCATTGGAAAAGTTGAAATGTCTTAATTTCCAACTTTTCAGATGAATAAAAATTTTTTGGGAATGTTTCCCGTAATTATAATTTTTTACCACAAAAGAGCTCAATTCGCTTGCTCTAAATTGAGCTGAGTGCCAAGTGCAGAAAAATTAAATTTCGTCACAAAGAAAACGGGTTTAGGATCAACCCTTGCGAAAAATCGCAATTTGAGATCTTGTTTCTAAAATTTCATAATTTTCCTGTGTAGGGTTGCAATTCCGTTGCTGTTGAAATTAGTCGCGGATCATTAGCGTGACATGTGATGTGAGAGTGGTCCCTTTTGAGTGGCACACAATGAATTCGTTTACTCGTAAATAACTTGAGAAAGTACTCCATGTACCGTAATGCAAAGCGTATCGTGAATAGAAGTGACGTTCGGCCATTCCCATCCTGGCAAACTCAGGTGTGTTTGCATTATCATACCTGTTTCGGCGCCGACGGTTGAATATTCTCCTAGCTGTTGCAAAACCTGCTCCACATTATTTATTCGCAAATCAAAAGATACTTATTTTCGGACAGAGGGTTAGCCCCGGCACCTACTTTTGTGGAATTGGCCTTTTGTCCGACGAATTGCGACCGATTCCCAGAGCTTCATTCAAAAGAACCGAAATTTGCATCGAGCTTTCAAAAGGATCCACCCGGATTACGCGAATTTATTATCATCAAACGCACCCCTCGGACTCTAATCATAGACACACGAAAATGACTTGCTGGAATCGCCCTAGATGCTAGATCAAGCCCTAAAATGACTATTTGACGGAGTCCTTTCAGGGTTATTATACCCCAATTAAGCCCCCATATCACAGAATGCTTAGAAAAGTGTTCACTTTCACTAATGATAGTCAAGGATTTTGCACAGATACCGGAAGTTTGAGTAGCAGGAATGCGTAAGAGATAAAACATTTATTGTTTGAGATTAAAAGCATGTCAGCGGATTTTATGTTAGGTACGTGGAGTTGGCTTGAAAATAGATTAATGCTAGCGACGCCTCTCATTAAAATTCTTCAAAGTTTCACATAATTGTTAGGTATTAGTAGCTGAGGAATTCTGAGGTAAAGAATTGTAATAACTGCAGGTTATTAGATGGTTTTTTACATTTTTTAAGGTAGGTATATTCAGTTTTTCAAACGATCAAAAAGAGTTTGGTCCATTTTTCTTGAAAAAATTAATTATTAATATAAATAAAATTACGATCTGATAAACTATTATTGTTCTACTAAATGTTAACTCAAAGAAAAAAGAAAATTCATCGAAAGTAAACAAAAATGTAAAAGACTCCTTTCTTTTAAACCAGTTATTCACGAATTACACAAAAAAGGGCATTTCAAAAATATAAAGTGATCTACAATGAATGAATCTGTTGGCAAACACGCTTTTGATTAACAACAGTTCAACAATCTTGAGGGGTTGTAACTCAAGTATTTGTTTCAAAACCATATCCGGTTGCAGTGTTTCAAGTTACTAACAAAAATACTTTCAAATTTGTTAACAACAGACTCAGTCTTTCGTATGTATTTACATATTTCACCACTTATAATTTGTTGCTAAAAAATTACCGACAAAGCGTCGGTTTTGCAAAAATAAAAACGTTTTCGGCTCAAATTTTTAAATTGTGGATTTTTTGAATTTGCAAAAAATATAAATTTTACTCTATACCTAGTAAAATTGTCAATTCAAAAAACGCTAAAATTCGCCAATGAATTTAAGATGACGCCATTTATTAAACGTTGCACACTTATTGTTCGCAATTTCTTGTAAGGGCTTCACCCTTCAAAAAACTCGTTTTCTTTGTGGCGAATCTCCAATTTTTCTGCATACATTTGGCCAATGATAGAAAGATAAAGATTTAATTCAAGTCAATTATAGCTCGCGAAATAGCAAGAAAATAGTAACTACAAACTGAAGATTTTGTCAAAAATAAATAAATAGTAGGAGATGCAATAAAAATTAATCAAAACTCGTAATGTTTTCTCTAATAACAAAATAAAATAAATAAATAAACCATCTAAATACATGGCTATTTTTTTATCATCTACAAGTGTTTTTTATTGCTTTTTAATAAAATCTGACGAATTTGAATCGTGGGTATTTTTATTTAGATTTAGAGATTTATAAGAAATTGTTCTTTTAATGTTGTTAATTTTATATCTTGCAACTCATCGTAATATTGTTGATATGAATAATATGGAAAGTGAAATAAAATTGCCTCAAAAACAAGCCTTAACATACTTTAAACGTTGCCGATTTATTGAGCGCATTTTCGCAAGGGTTTGCCCCCTAATAAAACCCGTTCTTTTTATCTCCATCGACCGCAATTTTTCTGCAAAGGCAATAAAACCTCGAACTGAGTCAATTATCATCACGGTGAGCACGTGGTAGAAATCGAAAGTGATTTGGCGCCAAAATCTCCCATTAACTTGTAGCGTCGTTTCATTAGCAGGAACGTTAAGGTCAACAAGTCCTAAATATTGTTTTTTGGAACCTTGAACGACCCGATAGCAACTGCAAACGCAACTCTTTGCCTAATTTTAT